TGAGGTAGCTCCGGGGAGCCGACGGGGCTCCCCCCCAGAAAACCAGCGTTGAATGTAATGAAACGCCATTTTCTGGGTGAGTCCCGGAGGCTCCCCGGCATCCCTCCCTCCCTCCGGTCGGCGGCATTTTTCGCGTATTTTGACATCCAGCCTAAGAACTGCCAGTTGGATCGCCGGCGTGGAGGGTCTGGGGCTCCCCCTTCCCCCTCTCGGGGAGGGGGGTTGCGCAGACGGTGGCGTGGCGACGAGATGACGTCATGCTAGTTTGATAATTTTATTTGGGGAGTTCTGTCCACTAGTTCGGCTTTCGGTAGCAATAATCTGACCAGAATAGGGGTTTGTTTTGGGGCGCCTACCTTTCTGGGTGCCTGTCCCGGTCGATGGCAGACATAGAATGCTCCTAATCACAAGGGGGGTCTCTATAGGCCATTGCTCCTCGTGCCTCTCTGAGGGGGCCAGGTTCTGGCTCGTGGTCCCCGGTAGGCAAGAACTCCTAGCACTTTGACTGATGCCAGAAAGTTATACATATCCATTTAGCCTGGATAGCTCTGGGGAGCCTCCGGGACTCACCCAGAAAATGGCGTTTCATTACATTCAACGCTGGTTTTTTGACATGTGTTGTATTCCAGAAATTTCATGTCTTTTTTTTCTACAAAAATGTCAATGCTTTGCAACATCTCAGAAGTCACCCCTTTATATCCCAGCATCATTAGCATCTTTAAACAAGAACAACATAATTTATTTGCATCTTCGGGGCCTCCAAGAATGTGCCAGAAGCAGCGCGACCCCACCATTTGGTGTTGACGTTACTCAAACGAGCGTTCGCCATACAGGACGATTTGTCGCCGATCGGGCCGTTCATTACCCAAAATGTTCACCTTTTGGGGCGATCGTTATGCGAGGTACCAATGTATTTAGTCAGTATTCCTGGACCCAGTTGGTCATGTGTTGCTTTGGTCCATGTCTCTTGGCCTGGATTCTCTTCTTCATCTTAGTGCCAGCCACCTCTTATTCTCCCTGGTAACGCGTGATTGTGTTCTATGTGGTTTGTTAACTTGCAGGAGCCAATGGGGGGCCTCTCCCAGAAACCCAGCATTGAATGTAATGAAATGCCTCTTTCTGGATGAGTGCCAGTAGCTTCCCGATTCCCTCCTTCCCTTTCAATACTGTCGGATTAGTGAGCTGTTCATCAACTCCTGAACTGGCTGGTCAGGGAAGTCAGTTGCTGGCCGAGGGCTGGTTCGCCTGGTGGTGCTGATCGGTACTAATGAGTATCGAGTCAGTTTGAATGGATTCCTTGTTATGTATGAATTGTTTACCTAGTTGTTTGGTTGTTTCAAGGCTCCATTTTCTGTGAACCCTCAAGTTGTCTGTAAAGCTTTGCAGACTTTCTGGATGGTGTTCCCGGTGTGGTGGTGAACTTTCACTTGCTCCCTGCACCTCTGTGAGGGGGAAGGGCTGGTTGTGGCCCCTGGTTCCTGGTAGGCCAAATAGAACTTATGTGACTGATGAGACCTTTTAGCGTGCATCAATCTCAGGAAGACAGCTTCAGGGAGCCACCAGAAAGAGGTGTTTCATGACATTAACCCCTTAACTGCGTTGCCTCCAAATGTGACACCCCCGCAGTGCGCAGGAAATAAATTCTCTGGAAAAAATTCTTTTTTCTTTTTAAAGTGTCAAAAACCCTTCCCTGAGTATGGGTATGTAAAAAAAAATTCGAAATTGTACTTACTTTGGCTGCTATGGGGTCCGCAAGTTTTGGCGTGACGTCATCATTCCCCGTGCGCCCGTGGCGTAAGCTCTCGGGGGCGTTGGGGCGCTCGGGGCGGGGCACGCGAGTTGCCGCGAATATATTTTCGTTCATTTATTGCGTACATTTTCATTGTTTTTATGTGCCAATCCAATGTATAATGAACACGTACACTATAATATCGCAGTACAACATCCGTACTGTCCGTAGACACTGTGTTACGTGCATCGCAAACAAGTTCACTTATCCTGCACAATTTCCAATGTATCATGCCTAATATATTTATATTTACACTTTATATACACACTGTACAGTATCACACACTATATACACACACCATAAACACACTCAGTACTCCGCGAGTGTGTGATATGCTGTGAAACAGCCAACGGGGCAGAGTGGCACCTTGCACTCCACGCACCAGGTGCTGATACATCTTCGTTTCTGTTCTCTGCGGGTAGTGTTCCTGCATACTATACAGGCACGTTTACCCTTCTCCCGTGGTGCTGTGCCTGGCATATACTCGAGCATATGTACTCCGAAGTTCTCATTACCCCTCAATCTGTCTGGAGCTGCATGTGGCATTGTTGCTTGCACTCCGCGCGGTACAACAGAACCCTCCTTGCCATACTTTACTAGCAGCTGTGACACAACACCAGCACTGAATGTACGTATAGACGGTCTCCTGCCAGATTTTACTAAGTACATATTGAAGCAGTTGAGCACTGCAACATCCATGAGGTGGAAGAAGAACTTTTTAGTCCACTTCACAGACTTGCGCAAGCACTCCACTCCAACAAGCATCATGTCACACTTATCGACGAGGCGCATGTTCACGTTATAGTCTATGACACAGTCCGGCTTATACACGGTGTTGCATGTCTGAAAGTGGACTTTCCCACTGTCCAACATGGCACCGGTGTGAATCGTAGTCAGCATATTCACCTCGCGTCTGTCCTTCCACCGCACTGACAGCGTATTGTCACACTTGCGCAGCTGGCACTCACCCACGGCTATAGCTATACCGAACACTGGCATTTCCTTCCTGTGGCTTTTCACAGTGCCACATACGCCGGTGTTGTGGGCAAGGAGGTATCTGGTCAATAAGGGGCTGGTGTAATAGTTGTCGGTGTACAGTACATGCCCCTTGTTCAGCAACGGTTCCATCAGGGTTTTTACAACACTGCCAGAGAACCCGTGTTCATCTTGAGCCGGTATGTCGACGTCTGTACCAGAATATAATATGCCCAAGACAATACCAGTCTCACAGTCGCATAGCACAAAAAACTTCAGTCCAAATCGGTGCCGCTTTGATGGAATGTACTGCTTGAATGCCAGTCGCCCCTTGAACAGTACAAGCGACTCGTCAATAACCACATTCTGTCCAGGTACAAAATAATCCCTGAACTTCCCTCTCATGTCACTGAACATCTTCCGTACTTTCCACAGTCTGTCGTGTCTGTCCTCATTTGCATTATTCTCGAAATGCAGGCACCTGAGAATCAAGAGAAACCTATCACGCGACATGTACCGGTTGAACACAGGCGATGGAACAAGGCTGTCTTTGCTCCAATAATCCTGGATGACAGCTTTCTCAGAGTGCTTCATCATCATACAGAGTGCCAGAAACACGTACATTTCGTCGATTGTCGTGTCCTTCCATCGTGTGAGCCGTGAGGCAGGTAAAATGCCTTCGTCTATGAGGCTGTGAGCGAACCTGTTTGTCTCAGTCACAAGATGCGTCATGAATACGTTGTCAAAATATGCCTGAAAATATTCCATGTCTGCCATATCATCACCAGTATATGGGAATAATGGTGTAACACCAAAATCGCTATCATCAAATGTTGGTATTTGAGGGACAAATGTGGTGCAATCCTCCCACACAAGTACACCAGGGGGTTTGGTGTTGGCACCAACACCACCACGAGCACCAAAACTACGGCTACGTCGTCCGCTGCTTCTGCTGGAGCTGCGTGAGGGTATGCTAGGCGCTGAGGCAGATTTACGTACTGTAGACCTACCACGAATAAATGATGTTGAGGGGCCACTGTCGTTGTCCACATGCTGTGAGGCACGCTGCCGCCTGCCGCGGTGTGTTGCTGAGGTAGCAAAACCCCGCCTGGTAACACCACCACTGCTCGTACTCGGGTCGTCCACACTACTCGTATCGGAGCCAATGTCACTGAAGCCCGAGAAAGATTCGTCACATGTACTATCACTGAATAAACTACTAGCGTCTGGGGACATACATGATGGTGGTGATGATAACGGTGATGATAACCCAGGGCGGCGAGGCAGGCCGGGCGAGGCACGAGTACCACACACACTCGCCACATCTTCCAATTCTGTCTCTTCCTCACTCGTATCAGATCTCTGAGTTAGGTCTTTCTCTGGATCATAGTCCAGGTCATCATCCAGAGCACCGTCATCATACAAAATATCGTGTATTTCCTCCTCAGAGAGTCGTTTTCCATGACCGCGGGTCACCGTGGAGCGGGAGCTCGTAGAGGATGCGTCAGACATGGTTGCTGCTGTGAAACTGAGGCTCCCCACGGCCGCAGGGCATGCTGGGATTTTTTTTTAAGATGGCGGACGATCACTGGGGCCCCCACCCACCCATACCATACCCTCGTCACCGCGCGCCAGTTTTGAATGGAACGTGAAAAATCAAAATACCTGGAGGCACGTTGCGCAAACCAGACGCGAGCCTGCAGGCGCGTTGCGCAGTTTAAGGGTTAATGCTACTTTGTGTGTGTTGTGCACACTGGGAGATTTCTGGGAAAACAGGTCATTTGGTTCATGGACTGTGGCAATGTAAAAATATTATTTCATCAAAGGCATGATTGCTTTGAGGGATGGTCATCAGTCACATAATTTGGATATGAATTAGATGCTGTTGAATATATACTTAAAATACTGAATGAAAGGTTGAGCAGCTTTCCTCCACTCCGTGGTGCTACCCCAGCTTCCTGGCTCTAGTGAATTACCACACATCTCCGTCACTCATTGTTCACGGTCTTCCCGCATAATGTAAACTTTACCTCCATATTATAACCCACTGTTTAATAATTCATATTGTGCATGTGCTGAACGAAAAATAATGTAAATAAATGTATAAAATATATAATTGATATTGACAGTCTGGTTTAGCATTGTGAAGCAATTCATTTAAAACACATGTATTAGTTTCCATTCTCAGTTGTTCTAATTTATAGCTAATCTTTTATGCCATCACTTTATGTTCCAGCCGAACACTTCGTATTCCAAACCACATCTCTATTTTATACGTGGAGCAAGAAGTGGTCGGGGATGACACCATCGCTTTAGAGAGCGTCTTAGAGTGTGACATACAACGCAAGACTCTCCTCGACAGAGAGAAGGAGGTCCAGGCTAGAATATCCCGAGGGTAAGCCATCATCTCTAATATTTGTATTGGTTCACCTCTGACCATCATTATTTTGGTACAATGCTGAGCATCATTGTTTTGGTTCACTGTCCATTCTTTACTCATTTAATATATCCTGGATATATTTTATCCAGACATTTATATTCACTTATCTTTATCCTGGTCTTCTTGAAGGGCATGACAATCATCTAAGTTTCTTATCATCCCTATTATCATAGCATCATCAGCAAACATGCTCATAATTCTGTATGTCTTCTGGTAGATAGTTTATGTAGACAATGAACATTACCGGTGCAATAACTGATGCCTGTGGTACCCCACTGGTAACGTTTCTCCAGTCAGATACATTGCCTCTGATTACTACCCTTATTATCTGGGGAGAGCCCCTTCAGCTTCCTGGAGCTAATTGGGCTGATATGAATGTATTGACCATGTGTATTGACCCTGGCATCAGTCAATACACATGGAGTTCTAGGCCTAACAGAGATGACGAATCAGAACTTGACCCCTCCTCAGAGAGGCACGAGGAGCAATGGCCTATAGAAACCCCCGTGTGGTTGTAAGCATTCTATGTCTGCCATCGACCGGGTCAGGCACCCAGAAAGATAAGCGAACCAAAACAAACCCCCTATTCTGGTTAAAATATTGCTACTGATAACTAAACTAGTGGACGGAACTCCCCAAATGAAAACGAGCAACCGAGACGTCACCACGTCGCTTCGCCGCAGTCTGCGTAACCCGCCCCTCCCCGGGAGGGGGATGGGGAGCCCCAGACCCCTGCACTGGCTATCCAACCCACATTTCTGTGGCTGATGTGAACTGGCAAAGTTGTGCACCTTTGGCTCCTGTGTTTTCCAGTTCTGTGCCTTGTGGTGTGGTCCTGCCTAACAGGAGTTATTTCACAAGTACTTGGGCTGCCTAGGGTTCCCTTCCCTAGTTGCCCAGTAAGTACTGCCCTTAATGCTTGGAACCACTTTCCACGTCACCTTGGGGTCTACCTCCGCAAGGTCTTTTGCTGCTCAGTGATTGACTGTCCTTGGAGTCAGCTGGGGTGTTAATTGCACTACTATTTGCCTTTGGGTAAGGGTAGTTTCCTCACTGGTTGGGATGCAGGGAAAGGTGCAGCTTTGGGTGCAGGTAGTTTTCAGCTCTCATAGCGGCCGGCTCTGTTCTACCTGGGTACATTGTCCTCTTGCAGGGTTTTTCTTTTGTTTTTGTTATCCTGCCTGGTGGGAGGTCTGCCCCTTAGTTTTGGTCACACCCATTTATATCTTGGTGGTCCTCCGCTAGGGCCCTATGAGTGTACACGTCCCGGAGGTTCAGCTTTAGCAGTACCCTGCCTGGGCTTCCCTTAGCGAGATTACGTGACTAAGGGCCCTAGGAAACCCCACGAGGACTCTTTGATCCGACAGATGTGTTCCTTGGGTCCCCTCTCGCTTCATGCGAGTTTGAAGGTTGCTCTGTCCCCTTGTCTCGGGATGACACCTTCCAGTTGTGCCTCCGTCATGCTGCCTGTTGGGTCGGTAACACCTTCGACCCGGAGTCCTGTGAGTTTTGTTCCTTGTTTGTATTCCAATATACCCAGTCCACTGATCATGATATTCGGGTGCAGGCAGTTTCGGCGTTGCATGCTCGGTTTAGGTTGCTGCAACGCGCTAGGTTAGTTGCTTCCATGGATGCCCCGAGACTGCCCTGTTTTAGTTATAGGGACGTGGACGTGGGGGTGAAAGTCGCTTTGAATTTGGCTCAGTCTATGCCCCCTTGTCCTTTCCCTTCTGTTGTTCGTCATGGTGCTCCCTACCTGCTTCCGGCTCCGAAGCTTCTGAGGGTTTCGGGGTCGGGGCTCAGATCAGGGTTTAGCTGGTGTTGAGACTCGGGTAGTTTCGAGGGATGCACCTTCCGGTGTGGCGACTGAGGCATTCGAGCATGTTCCTCCAGCCAGAGCTTCTGGATCTGAGCAGTAGGCCCCCTTCGTTCCTGCTTTTTCTTTTGAGGTAGGGGTTTTGGAGGATAGCTCGGGTCCGGGTCCTTGTGGGGAGGTTCCAGGGGCGGGGGGAGGGATTGACTTGGGGTCTTGGGCCTCTGTTGGACCCTGCTTGGGTTTCTGTACCCCTCTGAGTGGACTTGCTGTTACAGGTGGATGAATCTTTTCCTCCATACTCGTATGAGTTGGATTAGGCATCAATCCCTCCCCGGGTTCGGTTCTGTGCTCCTTTGAGTACTTCAGTCCCATCTTTCCAGAGGTTTTCGGCCTCCCATGTCCCGCCTCATATGGTTGTGGAGGCCATTGTGGCGTTTCTTCTGTAAGTAATTACCTAAGTGTAATTACCTAAGTGTAGTTACAGGATGAGAGCTACGCTCATGGTGTCCCGTCTTCCCAGCACTCTTTGTCATATAACGCTTTGAATCTACTGACGGTCTTGGCCTCCACCACCTTCTCACCTAACTTGTTCTGTGCGGCATGGATTACGCCTTCATAATGAATACTTCTTCCTTTGTGTTTGGATCATCTTTTCCTTACCTAGTTTGTTATGAGGTTCCCGAGTCATCCTGGCTTGTGGACTGCCCCTTTTTCTCTTTGGAGGTGCGACATATGTTCTGTCTGTCCCGCACACTTTAATGGCGCAAGGCTCATACAGTGGTCTAGGTTTTCCTGGGGGCAAGTTTGAGCACCTCAATGCGTGTTTGTTCGCCCCTGCCCTTCCTCGGGATGTTGGCATTGTGCAGCTTCACGTGCAGGTTCCCACCCTCTCGGCTGCTTCTGGGGGGCTCCCGGGGTCACACGGCGGTTGCTCGAGGGTTTGTGTGGGAGCCTGATCTTTGCTGTGAGGGTCTACTCACTGGGTCGAGTTTGGCTTCGTCGGCTGTTCTGGCTCCCTTGGGAACATCCCTTCCACCTCTATCGCGTCCACTGGGTTCGGCCTCCGGGAGTCTTGCATTGGCTGCTGCATCGCCATCTCCCTTTTTTGGTTTTTCGGGGTTTAGTGCCCTGGCGCCTACCCGAGGCCTCGCTCAATGTTTTCACAGATGCGTCGTCTCTTGGATAGGGCAGAGAGGTCTGTTCTTCTGTCGGGCCCACAGCATGATGCGGGAGTTTGCGGCGGTAGAACCTTGGATCTTTGGGGCTGGTCGCTTCGCGTGACTCATCTGCTGAGTTCTTGGGGTATGCCTCTCTTGCCCGTTCACGTTCGGGGGTGTCCTGGTGGACGGCCTGTCTCGGTTCATTCTCCTGTCCACGGAATGGACAGTCGATGCCGGCTCTGCCAGACATACAGGCTCCCGGAGGTGGACCTCTTCACATTGGCGTGGTTGAGGTGTCTCCCGTTGTGTGTGGTGCCCTCTCCCGACTCCCTCTCCTCGATGTCGATGCCTTGCGGCAGGACTGGTCAAGGTGGGGTTACCTGTATCTCTTTCCCCCCCGGTTCAGCTGTTGCTCCAGGTCCTAGCTCGCTTGGAGACTTACCAAGGGAGAGTAGTCCTCTTGGCTCCTTGGTGGCCGGCCCAGCCTTTGGTTTCAGGCGCTGCTTGCTCGGTGTCCGAACCCGAGGGTCTTCCCACGGCTCTGCCTCTTTCAGCAGATTGGTCCGGTCCGTTACATGGCTGGATCGATATTTTCGAGTCTTCACACCTGGTCTTTCTGACTCAGGTCTATCACCATTTGTATTGTGAGCAGGTGGCTTCTTTGATGGTGTCCCACATGCGTGCTACGTCTCAGCAGCAGTATGGAGTTTCCTGGCGGTCCTTCCGTTATTTCTTATGCCTTCGTAGGTTTACTTCTGTCTCTGATAAGGTTATCTAGTTCTTCATTTCGTGGTTGTTCCAGGACCATCTTCCTATGCCGAATACTGTCACCTCATATCATGCGGTGCTGGCGGAGCCGCTGAAGCTTGCGTTCAGCATTGATGTTACTTCTGCACCGTTTCGCAAGCTGTCTCGTGCATTGTTTCACCTCTGGCCTGCTCATGCCCCGCCTGAGCCGTCCTGGTTGTTGGACCGGTGCTCTCTTTTCTCTCTTCTCAGTTTGTTGTGGCCCCTTCTGTTCAGGGTTGTTTTCCAAAGCTCTTTTTCTGTTATCATTGTCCTCTGGAGGTCGGGTCGGGGAGCTTCATGCTCTCCTCCAGTGCTGGGATTTCTTCTCTTTTGGTTCTGGGGATAGGTTTGTTTGTGTTCATTCTTTTCTGGCGAAAAATGAGACTGCTGCTTTCTGGAGGGGTGTTTGGGTTGTTGATGCTTGGTTGGCTAGGCCGGGGGTGCATCATGTGTTGTGTCCGGTTGCGGCTCTCCGTCGTTACTTGCGCGCCACGGCCTCGGTGGTCGGGGACATGCTTTATGTTACCCGGTTTCCCCTTCTGTCTTGTTCCAGGGTTTGGGTCTCCCAGGTCGTCAGCAGAGTTATTTGGTTCAGCCAGCTTGCGGTCTATCCTTGTGCCCACGACGTTCGTAAGTTTGCTGCACTGGCTACTGTTTTCAGTAACATGTCTTGGGCTGACATTTGGGCACGGGGTTTTTGGTCGAACAGGGTCCTGGCTGCTCGCTACCTTGTTAATGTTCCTGGGCCTGGTCGGGCCTGTGTTGCATTGGGTCGGTGGTTGCAGCCAGTTGTCTTGACTTCGCGTTGAGGAGCGGGGGCCGACCTCCCGGGTACCTAAGTAAGTAGCTCCGAGGAGCCGAAAGGGCTGCCCCCAGAAAACCAGTGTTGAATGTAATGAAATGCCATTTTCTGGGTGAGACCCGGAGGCTCCCATGCATCTCTCCCTCCAGTCGGCGTTTTTTCACAGTTTTCACATTCAGCCTCAGAAATGCGGGGTGGATAGCCAGTGCAGGGGTCTGGGCCTTCCCATTTCCTCTCCCAGGGATGGGGGGTTGCGCAGACAGCGGCGCGGCTACGTGATGACTTCATGCTCGTTTGCTCGTTTTCATTTGGAGAGTTCTGTCCACTAGTTCGGCTTTCAGTAGCAATATTTTCACCAGAACAGGGGTTTGTTTTGGGGCCTTTACCTTTCTGGGTGCCTAACCGGGTCAATGGCAGACATAAAATGCTTCCAACCACACGGGGGTCTCTATAGGCCATTGCTCCTCATGCCTCTCTGAGGGGGGCCAGGTTCTGGCTCGTGATCCCAGGTAGGCCTAGAACTCCCTGTGCATTGACTAATGTCAGGGTCTAATACATTCATATCAGCCCGCTTATCTCAGGAGTCTCCGGGTCTCACCCAGAAAATGGTGTTTCATTACATTCAATGCTGGTTTCTGTGTGTAACTTATTTTGCACATAGTGCACATAGGACTTTTCTAGAATTATTCGTTACGATAATATGTACAGTATGATTTTTCTTATGAATATTGTACTATATAAGCTTAATTTCATAGTAACAAATATGGAATGAATCACAGTTTGTATGAGTCCTGAATATCATTGTGTTAACAACAGATATATTATAAATATGTGTAAAGTTCTTACTCAAATTTCAGTCACATGCAGAGGTTTGAATTCCTCTATGCTGGAATAAGCTTGACATAATTCTCTATTTTGAACAGTGAATTGGATGAAACACTTTCAACGCAGCTCTCAGAGGTTTACGCAGAGCTCCAGGCCATTGAAGCAGACAAAGCCCCAGCGAAAGCTAGTGTTATACTGAATGGTTTAGGCTTTAATCCTGAAATGCAGACGAGAAAAACCAGCGAGTTCTCTGGTGGATGGAGAATGAGAATAGCTCTAGCAAGAGCTCTTTTCTCTCAGTAAGTATTGTTTCCTATGGTAATGTCTTCAGCACATGATAAGTACTTATTACTTATGTTTATTTTACTTATGTTTTCCTTTCTCACTTAGGTAATTACTTATGTATTTTTGTGCCTTTGTAGCTAAGAATTTTTTTTAATTAGCATTAAGGTTCCAAAACATTTCAATGCCCTCTCTTTATGCATTACTGATATGACGTTAGTACTTCTCACTGTGATCAAAAGAGAAGATCAAAAGAGGTGCTTGATAAACACCTCCAATGGATACCTGACCAACTGCGGGTATGATTGATTTTGGTTGCGCAATCAATCGCAGTCGTTCTGGCTGACCGAAAGATAGTAAGTACAGTACTCTAAATCATAAAAGAAGCAGCGGGTTGATTCAATTCGGCTCACTGGAATGACAATGTGATCTTTCTGAACCGTTAATATGTCAATAATTGCCAATACTTTAAAGGGGAAGTCAGTCTGGTATTACCACCTCACCTTCTGGAACCCTTTACCTTGTGGCTGCGACTGCTTGTCACCCTGCATGATTACCCTGGGAAATGATCGTGACTAACAACAAGTGAGCTGACGCGGGTTTACTCTCCTGTGGGTTTCGAGAGTTGTGTTGTTGAAGGTGGAATGTGCATGTAATTCCAGCAGGGTCGACAATCATAAATTTTATCTATCAAGTTTCCATTTGTCTGGCCCAGTGGCTCTTTTTTTTTTCCAGACATTGGCTTCACATTTGTTGATTTGTCCTAAGTGAACCATTATAATGTTACTCATTGCCAGCATACCTAATGTAATGAGAACTTCTGTGTACGTAATGTCATTCAAACTTTGTTCAAATATGTTAATTAAAGAAATTATATCTATCTTTATATTTACAGACCAGATCTGCTTCTACTTGATGAACCTACGAACATGTTGGATATGAAGGCCATTATTTGGCTAGAAAACTACCTCATAGGCTGGCCAACGACCTTGCTCGTAGTTTCTCACGATCGGCACTTTCTTGATATTGTTCCCACGGATATTTTACATTTACATTCACAATCCATAGATACTTATCGGTAAGTAAATACTGTACTGTACTGATGTTGGCCTGGCCTGCTTGAGGATATTGATGGATTTTCCTTGATCACTTGTAATGTGTCCTTGGCCTAAGAGATTAGCAAGCATTGGATAAGTCTTGTCAGTTAACTAAATTCAATGTCACAACCTGATAAGGGTCTTGGATGTTCCAAAACATTATCGCTCATTTTATTTCACATGTGTGGGTTGATTTATCTATTTTCAGCCATGTTATTGTGACTTATTCTCTTTCTTCTCAATAATTTCTTGTATTCTTTAAGAATAACAACATTTATAATATTGCTGTAGGTATAACTTATTATCTGTACAGTATTTGAATTCAATTTCTGATGGAGCCCTTTGTGGCTCCCTGAAGCTCACCACTCACTGAGATGGCTCCCAACTACTAGGTCACATCAGCCACGGAGCTCCGACCTACCGGGAACCAGAGCCAGAACCTGGCCACGCACACAGAGCCACAGAGAGTAGGTGACACTCCACCACCCCACTGGGAAAGCATTCACAGTGTCAGCACACTAGTACAAACTACTGCTGGGTTCAAAAGAACTGAAGCCTCAAAACTGTCAAATGAATTTCTCAAACAATGTAAACAAAACTGTGGAAACTAGCATGAGCTTGTTAGCTCTCGCCATCCACCAGTAAAGAAGAGGAGCCAGAGCTCCAGGTCTTTCCCAGCCTTCCTAGCCAATTGTGTCACTGATTTAGACACCACCAGTTGTCACTGTAGGATTCTCTGGTTGTCAACGGGCTGCACGTGTCCTGCTGCCTCTCCACTAAGTGCTGGCCATCCTTCAACTTTGTCCTGTGGGGCCATTGGCTTGATATTGTTCGGTATTCTAATTTACCTCACTTGAGTGTTTTCTGCCTGGTTCATGTTGTGTGGATGTAGCTGGCAAGGTGTTTGGAGCTGCAGGTGATCAGGGCTGCATCCCTGTGTGCTCCCTAGCACTTCCCCTGCACTGAAAGAGTTCTTCTCCTTGGTGTGTACTGGGAGTTCACTCTTTAGTGGCCGGACCACTGGGGTGGGGCCTTACATCACGTACTTCAAGGGTCTTTGTTCTCTTTGCCTAAATCTGTGGTTGAGGTGAATGTTTAAATTAGTTGAGGCATTCTGGGTGTTCATGCAATTGTTTTAAATACTGCATGGCAAGAGCTTGGCCTTCACAGCCATGTTTGCTAAGCTGTGTTGGTCTACTTGTATATAATTCCCAGAGAGCGTCTCCAGTGCCTCGATGTCTGGTTTGGCCAGTTCTTCAAGGCCTGATAATCCCCCTACAGGTTTTTGGCTGGCCTATGGATATCCCTTCCAACCTGCTCTTGCCTTGTGCAAGTTTGAAGTTTAAGGGCAGTTCATTTACAGTGCCATAGGGCAATGATCATTCTTTCTGCCTCTTGGGTTTGTGACCCCTATGATCCCATAACAGGGTCCTGACAGCTGAGTGGACAGCGCCCGGGATTCGTAATCCTGAGGTTCCGGGTTCGTTTCCCGGAACGAAGGAAACGAGGCGGAAATTTTCTGGAGGCAGAAACAAATGGGCAGAGTTTCTTTCACCCTGCTGAACCTGTTCACCTAGCAGTGAATAGGTACCTGGTAATTAGACAGCTGCTACGGGCTACTTCCTGGGGGGCGTGTAAGAGAAAGGAGGCCTGGTCAAGGACTGGGCCGCGGGAACGCTAAGCCCTGAAATCATTTCAAGATAACCCTCAGTCCTGTATGGTTTGTTTGCCCCATGTGGCTCTTCTCTCAAACCGTCCACACAAAGTGTAAGCTTCTCAGGCAGCTGCCACCTTTTGAGTTTGCTTTGCCAGTCTTCAACATTTGTGGCTTTGTGCCTGGTTGGATGTCCCAGAGTTGGCTTGTCTTGTTTTTAGGAACCCATAATTGGAGGTGCAGAGACTTCCACCTTGGTTCTGTCCACACCTCTTCCTTCCCCTTCGGGTGTTGTACACCTGGCTTTCCCTCCCACTTGCTTCCGGCTCCAAATCATCTGAGGGTTTAGGAGTACATATATACTATGCATCTTTCTAGGGGTTTCCCCTCTCGCTTTTCCCCCATTCCCTTTTAGTGGTTTGTGCGGATCTCTTTAAATACTTCCTGCATGACCCAGATTTTACCTCTCTGATGGCCCCTGTTTCATTTGAGTTTGGGTCTTCTTCACTGTACTGACTGCACTACAAGGTTCCGGTGTCTCTGGCTAGCAGACAATCCTCTCTTTGTTTTTGCCTTGGGGCTTGGTGCAGTTTCTGTCATTTCTGCATGCTCGAGTGGTGGGAGGTTTTGAGCTCAATGTGACTGACTGTTTGCTCTCACTCTTTCTAAGAATGTAGAGTTAATGGAACTTCATTCTCAGCTGCCTTTGCTTCTTGCTGCCTTCATGGCAGATGACTTGTGGGCTCGGTCACACTTGGTTACAGTCGTGTACTTTCTTGCCCTCCTGGAGATTTTTTCTGACTGGCTCTGTGAGGATGTCAATTTGCTCAGCTTGGGATAGGGGTGTAGATTCCTCGATGCTTGCCATAGTGGCTTCAGAGGCTTTACCAAAACATGGGAAGACTGTTGCAGCATTCTACTCTGCCCGTCTTGCATGTCGACAGACTGTGATGGCCCAGTCATTGGATTTGACTTGGTCCTTGGGCCTTTTGTCTTTTTTTTGGCCTCTTATTTTTCCAGTTTGTTATTGCCACTCAGTTTGTGTCTTCAGTGGCAGCTTCATGCTATTCAATTCATCAGTTGTTGTGTACTCTGGGTTCTTGTCCTTGTTTTTGGAAGCGGTTGGGTTGGGGTGGGGTTTTCCTGCTACTGGTGGGGTGGACATGGTCCACCGTGTCCTTTGGTGGAGGAGGATTCTGGGTCATATGTACCTTCTGCTGCTAGTTCCTGTTCTGCTTGTCAGTGCTATACTTGAGCTTTGTGGAAAGATGCCTTTGTTCGTGGTTCGTGCCGGCCCTTTTGCCGTTTGCTCCTTCGGCTGAACTGTGGGGAGACGGCTCACCCGGTTTGCCGACTCCTGGTCCGGGGATTTGTGGGCTTTTCAGGTCATTTCCTGAGATCTTTGGTGGAGTTGGTCAACCCTACCTCCTCATCTCAGGGGTTGATCCTTTTGGGGCAAGCCTCTTTCCCTTGCCTCTGTTGGGTTCTTGGGCCCCCAGTCCTGGTGAACTGGAGCAGGTCTCAGTTGGATCTATACCAGGTTTGGACTTGGCTGCTGCTTCGCAGACTTCCTCTTCAGGATTTTCAGGGTTAGGTTTTCTTGGGGGCATCCATAAACATGTCCCTTAACATGTTTATGGGCGCGTCGGCACTGGGCTCGCTTTTTGTTATTGGCATTCTGTGCTATTGGTCAGGTCAATTCTGTCTTGTACATATTCTGTCTTCATTGTGTGAATAAGTTTGTGGCCATGTGACATGCCCTGAGGAGGATTCATGTTCCTCCGTCTTCCATGCTCCAACTTAATTCTGACTGTTCTCCGGTGGTTCCTTGCTTGAACTGAGAGGGTTCCCTTCAGTTCCCTTCCCGAGGGGGGTTCCCAAAGACCAGTGCTCTCACAATGGTCTTTGCTAACATGTCCTGGGTTGATATTTGGGCACGGGTATTTTGGCACTCTGGTATTTAATTAATAACACCGGGTCTCGCCATGCCTGCATTGCCTTGGGTCTTCTCTCTTATCCAGTTGTCTATTCATTGTCTTGATTACCTGCTGTCTCACCTCCTTGGTTAGTCCCCTGCGTTTCTTCTCCTCGAGGAGTTAGCTTCACGGTGCAGCAAGATGCTTCCCCAGAAAAGCAGTGTTGAATGTAATTCAATACCTCTTTCTGGATGATCCCAGGTGGGTCCCTGATGAACCTGCAAAGGGAGAGAGGGAACTCCCTCCCTCCCTCCTTTCCAGGTTCGTCAGTTGATATATGTGGCCTTCACACCTACTCCAGAACTAGCTTGGTGGGCTGGACAGTACAGGGACCCTGTACAACCCCCCTCTCCCCCCACCCCAAATTATTGGGTTCAGACAGTAAGTGGCTCATATGAGTGTAGACAATACGTGCTTCATACATGTCCAGACAATAATTATTAACTAGAGACATGCCCTCCACATATACTGTGTAAGTTTCATGTAAATTGAATTAAAAATGAATCAGTTTTGTAAACGTTTGTGTCAATTAAAAAAAAAACAGAAATGAATAAAGTCTAAGGTTCTAAAATCTGTGGCTGAGGTTGACATCAACAAATTTTCTCCAAACTTGGCATCCTTACAGATAGGCTTACGTACAGTCAGGTGTGTAAGTTTGATGCAAATCGCCCCCAAAAAATGAAAAAAAAAAAAAAAATATTGAAAAAAAAAATCCTTTTTTTTTTCTTAATTTTTTTTCCAATTAAACTAATTATAATATTTGTTTAATATATGCTATTGTGATAGCAAAGAGTCGTAGCTATGATTTCAGTTGACACTTTTGATTGATAATCGATTTTGACCATTTTTGCATAATTTTCACAACTACTTCAATATTTTTTTTCTCCCTTCCTATTTATGCTACGATGCTGAAACTTGGACCAGATGAAACACTTTTCATATAGAACTTTAAATACATAAATCTGTAATAATTATACTGTACATTCTTTTTCCTTAAGGGCACATTTACATTACATGTGTCTTGTGTGTTTCAGTGGCAACTATGAAAGCTTTATCAACACTTATTTCTTGGTGTGTTTCAGTGGCAACTATGAAAGCTTCATCAACACCAAAAATGAACGGCAGAAAAATCAGCAGAGAGAATACGAGGCTCAGACCCAGTTCAGAGTTCATGTTCAAGAGTTTATAGACAAATTCCGGTATAATGCTAAACGAGCATCATTAGTGCAATCCAAGATCAAGATGCTGGAGAAACTGTGAGTATCTTTCACACTTTATCTTGCACGATGCTGACAATTAATTCTTTCTCTGAGGTGTTTGCCAATTTTTAGATTCAAATTTTAAAGTGAATTTTATTCAGTACTGTATTTAGATATTTCTTTTTCTCTCAGTATCTCCTTCACTGCCAGCATATCCTGTGGGCTCTGTCAGACACTGGGCAGTGTTTTCTCTCAGTATCTCCTTCACTGCCAGCATATCCTGTGGGCTCTGTCAGACACTGGGCAGTGTTTACTCTCAGTATCTCCTTCACTGCCAGCATATCCTGTGGGCTCTGTCAGACACTAGGCAATGTTTACTCTCAGTATCTCCTTCACTGCCAGCATATCCTGTGGGCTCTGTCAGACACTAGGCAATGATTACTCTCAGTATCTCCTTCACTGCCAGCATATCCTGTGGGCTCTGTCAGACACTAGGCAATGTTTACTCTCAGTATCTCCTTCACTGCCAGCATATCCTGTGGGCTCTGTCAGACACTAGGCAATGTTTACTCTCAGTATCTCCTTCACTGCCAGCATATCCTGTGGGCTCTGTCAGACACTAGGCAATGATTACTCTCAGTATCTCCTTCACTGCCAGCATATCCTGTGGGCTCTGTCAGACACTGGGCAATGTTTACTCTCAGTATCTCCTTCACTGCCAGCATATCCTGTGGGCTCTGTCAGACACTAGGCAATGTTTACTCTCAGTATCTCCTTCACTGCCAGCATATCCTGTGGGCTCTGTCAGACACTAGGCAATGATTACTCTCAGTATCTCCTTCACTGCCAGCATATCCTGTGGGCTCTGTCAGACACTAGGCAATGATTACTCTCAGTATCTCCTTCACTGCCAGCATATCCTGTGGGCTCTGTCAGACACTGGTCAATGTTTACTCTCAGTATCTCCTTCACTGCCAGCATATCCTGTGGGCTCTGTCAGACACTGGGCAATGATTACTCTCAGTATCTCCTTCACTGCCAGCATATCCTGTGGGCTCTGTCAGACACTAGGCAATGTTTACTCTCAGTATCTCCTTCACTGCCAGCATATCCTGTGGGCTCTGTCAGACACTAGGCAATGTTTACTCTCAGTATCTCCTTCACTGCCAGCATATCCTGTGGGCTCTGTCAGACACTAGGCAATGTTTACTCTCAGTATCTCCTTCACTGCCAGCATATCCTGTGGGCTCTGTCAGACACTGGTCAATGACAGTATCTCCTTCACTCCCAGCTCTTCTCTAAATATTTTTGTAATAAGAATTATTATCAATAAAAATTGGTTCCACAAATCAACAACCCTGATACCGAACCAGTATTTACCCAAGTCTTTCCTAAATCTAAATTTATCCAATATGGCAATGACAGTATCTCCTTCACTCCCAGCTCTTCTCTAAATATTTTTGTAATAAGAATTATTATCAATAAAAAGGATTCTGATGCCATTTTTGTCCCTTGTTAGTTCTCAACAATTGGTATATATATTTTACAATAAATATATACAAATTAAGGTGTGCTTGGAGAGTGGACAGGACCAAGTCAAAGTAGATTTATTAGAAAGGAAATATATTTAATTTTATATTGTGGTTCCCTTGTTTGGTACAATAACCCTGTGCTTAGGTTCATTGAGGTCACCCTCGGCCAAGCTTGGTGCTTGTACTCGGGCTCATTGAGGTCACCCTCGGCCAAGCTTGGTGCTTGTACTAAGGCTCATTAAGGTCACCCTCGGCCAAGCTTGGTGCTTATACTCAGGCTCATTGAGGTCACCCTCGGCCAAGCTTGGTGCTTGTACTCAGGCTCATTGAGGTCACCCTCGGCCAAGCTTGGTGCTTGTACTCAGGCTCATTGAGGTCACCCTCGGCCAAGCTTGGTGCTTGAACTCAGGCTCATTGAGGTCACCCTCGGCCAAGCTTGGTGCTTGTACTCAGGCTCATTGAGGTCACCCTCGGCCAAGCTTGGTGCTTGTACTCGGGCTCATTGAGGTCACCCTCGGCCAAGCTTGGTGCTTGTACTCAGGCTCATTGAGGTCACCCTCGGCCAAGCTTGGTGCTTGTACTCGGGCTCATTGAGGTCACCCTCGGCCAAGCTTGGTGCTTGTATTCGGGCTCATTGAGGTCACCCTCGGCCAAGCTTGGTGCTTGTACTCAGGCTCATTGAGGTCACCCTCGGCCAAGCCTGGTGCTTGTACTCAGGCTCATTGAGGTCACTCTCGGCCAAGCTTGGTGCTTGTACTCAGGCTCATTGAGGTCACCCTCGGCCAAGCTTGGTGCTTGTACTCAGGCTCATTGAGGTCACCCTCGGCCAAGCTTGGTGCTTGTACTCAGGCTCATTGAGGTCACCCTCGGCCAAGCTTGGTGCTTGTACTCAGGCTCATTGAGGTCACTCTCGGCCAAGCTTGGTGCTTGTACTCAGGCTCATTGAGGTCACCCTCGGCCAAGCTTGGTGCTTGTACTCGGGCTCATTGAGGTTACTCTCGGCCAAGCCTGCTGCTTGTACTCGGGCACATTGAGGTCACCCTCAGCCAAGCTTGGTGCTTGTACTAAGGCTCATTGAGGTCACCCTCGGCCAAGCTTGGTGCTTGTACTCGGGCTCATTGAGGTCACCCTCGGCCAAGCCTGGTGCTTGTACTCAGGCTCATTGAGGTCACCCTCGGCCAAGCTTGGTGCTTGTACTCAGGCTCATTGAGGTCACCCTCGGCCAAGCCAGGTGCTTGTGCTCAGGCTCATTGAGGTCACCCTCAGCCAAGCTTGGTGCTTGTACTCGGGCTCATTGAGGTCACCCTCGGCCAAGCCTGGTGCTTGTACTCGGGCTCATTGAGGTCATCCTCGGCTAACCCAGGTACCTTTACTTACGCTCTGAGGTCACGCTTGGGATACAGCAACTTTGGGATACACCAACCTTGATATACAGTAACTTTAGGATACAGCAATTTTGAGATACACCAACCTTGTAACTTTGGGATACAGCAATTTTAAGATGTACCAACCTTGGAATACAGTAACTTAAAGATACAGCAATTTTAGGATGCACTAACTTTGTTACCCCAACATTGGAATGCACCAGCCTATGGATACAGCATCTTTGAGATACACTAACCTGCCATGATTGAACCAAATTATTAATTTTCTGAGCGGACCCCCTACGGCTCCCTGGAGCTTATCGGTCTAATGTATGTTATATTAGACCGGGACATTAGCTATAGAGTTCAGACCTACCAGGGACCAGCGCCAGAACCTGGTCCCTTCAGAGAGATTTCAGGGAGCAATGGCCCTGGAAAACCTCCCTATGACTGGGGGTTTTCCTTTTCTGCCATCGACCAGGGTTAGGCACCCAGAAAGGTAGGAATAACAAAAACAAACCCCACATGGTAAGAAACTAACAACAAACACCGAACAGAGAAGTAGAACGCCCTACAATCCCAAGGAAATATGCTAACAAGCAAACGTAACACACTACTGCCATGCCGCTCGTCCGCGCAGCCCTCCCCTCCGCAAGAGGGGGAGGGGGGCCCGGACCTCACCTTGCTGGCTGCAAAGCACTCCAGTTCGTAAGCTAATGTTTGCCTTCGTGGCGTTCACTGCTGTGTTTTTTGTGTTGTGCAGTGGCCAGGTGTTCCTCATCAGTACCGGGGCTGTATGCACTTAGGGGCTTCCTTCCCTAAGTGCCCCTGTGAGTACTGCCCCTGCGTGACAGGGTTATCTTCTCTTCCTTCCCTGTGTGACAGGGTTATATTTCCGTAGAGGTTCTTGCTGCTTGGCATTTGCCTCGCCCTTTGGGCCAGCTGGGGCTTGGGGCCCTTGTTTGGCCTTGGGTAGGGACTAGTATTGTGTTGGTTAGGGTGTCAAGGTGTTGCACAACCTGCCACCTATGCGGTGACCGGTTCCTGTTGCCTCTGGGGACGGTGTACTTTTGCGGGGTTTTTCTTTTATTTTTATTTCATTTGCCTGGTGGGGGTCTGCCTAGTGTGGCCATAGTTCCACTAGTAGTGTTTGGTGGCCTCTGCTAGGCCCCGCGTGATTATACACGTCGCAGGGGTTTTCAGTGTTGCATCTACCCCTTGTTAGCTTGGGTGTTAACCGGTTAGCAACACCTTTGCTCGGGTTTCCCGTAGCAGTCAGCCTATGGGCCCTGGTCGGAGTTTTCCAGGGACGAAGGGACGACAACGTTTTGGTTTGTCCTGGACCATTCTCAAGTCGATTCTTATCAACATGTAGATAAGTATTTACATGTTGTATGCACTGTAACTGTACACCTAAGCTTGTAGGGTACCCAAAGAGCATAGTGGCCACCCTCTACACAGCTGGACAAATCATGCAGACGACGCCACCTCCGTCACCCAAATGGCTCCTCCCAACATAATCAATTATATGTTGACCAGACCACACACTAGAAGGTGAAGGGACGACGACGTTTCGGTCCGTCCTGGACCATTCTCAAGTCGATTGTGATGAGGAAGTAGATGCAGGCAATAAATAGGCAAGAGAGAGGTGAGGAGCAAAGTAAGGTGTAGTAGAGGGGATAGTAGTAGGAATAAGAACTGCAGAGGGCCTATTGGCCCATACGAGACGGCTCCTATTATAACCACCGAATGAGAAGGAGATAGTAATAGGAATAAGAAGAGGATAGTAAGGGAACGTAAGAGAAAACAATGAACAGAAAAAAGAGAGAAGAGAGAAAGAAAAGGAAAGAGAAAGAAAGATAAATGGAAGGGTAAGCTTATGTTAGGTCACGTTTGTTAGAAAGATTAGAGCATTAGAGTATATACTGTGAAAGGGAAGAGTCCACAGCAACAAAGCCAGGACTCAAGTTCATGTTGGGTACATTGTGTATTAGAGCCGATTCAACAAGACGGCGTCTGTGTAGAGTAAAGGCAGGAAAAATTATTTTGGAGGAAGACTAATCAATAGGATGATTGGAATCCTTTACATGACGGAAGAGAGCATTGTTAGTGTCTGCAGACTTAACACTTCTCTTGTGTTCTTTAAGTCATCCCTTCACCTCCTAGTGTGTGGTCTGGTCAACATATTGTACTTTAGCCACGTTATTGTGACTCATCGCCTGCATAGCAATTATATATTTATTGACATTTTTCGGCGATGCTGTGGTCACAAGCTGAAGGGTGTGGTTCTTTCCAGATCGCTGTGTTTGGGTTCCTGGTGAACTGGAGGACGTTCCATTTGGTTCTGTCCCGGGTTTGTGCCTGGCTGGGTCTTGTTTATGACGCTTGGACCGCTTGTTTGTCTCTCCCTCCAGAGGCATTGCTGCGGCTGCAGTCCCACCTTTGGCTGCTTCTGAGGGGGTCCCGGGTCACTCGGCGATTGCTCAAGCGGTTGTGCGGGGAAGTCTGAACTTCGCCGTGCTGGTCTACCCGCTGGATCGGGTTTGACTTCGGCATCTGTTTTGGTTTCTTCGGGGACGCTCCTTCCGCCTCTCTCACGATCATTGGGTTCGTCCTCTGGGGAACTTGTGTTGGTGCTGTGTCGCCGGCTTCCTCTTCAGGGTTTTCGAGGTTCCGTGCCTTGGTGCCTCCCCGAGCCTTCGCTCGATGTGTTCATGGACGGGTTGTCTCTCGGCTGGGGCTTTGTGACCAGTGCTCACCAGGCCGGCCGGGGACGGTGGGGCCGTCCGTTCGTCGGGCTCACAGCATGGTTCAGGAGTTCGTGGCTGTCTGGTTTGCGCTTCGGAGGGTTCGGATCACTCGGGGCTCTACCATCCGGTTCCATTCGGACTGTTTCTGGTTCCCGTGGTTCCGACAAGGAACCACGGGGATTCTTTTGGTCCTTACTTTTTTGGGATTGGTCCCTTCGAGTGCCTCGCCTGTTGGATTCTCGGGGTTTGGCTCTCTGTGCGTTTCGCGTTCGGGGTGTGTCCTACGTCCTGGTGGATGGCCTGTCTCGGCTCGTTCCTCTGATCATGGATTGACCGGTCGTCGCCGACTCGTTTTGTTGGCTCTGTCGGACGTACGAACTCCCGGACATGGACGTCTTGGCGTCTCCTATTCTATGTAGCGTCCTTCGCCACCTGCATGGCGTTTGCGATGGATGCCTTTTGGCAGGACTAGTCGAGGTGGAGTTACCTGTACCTCTTCCTCTGGTCCAAGCGGAAGAGGCTGCGACTGTCAGAAATATTGCCCGAACAACAGTGGACATCTTTATATAAAGATGTCCACGGTTGAAGTCTTCTCCGTCTTTTCTAGCGAAGGCCGAGACTGCTGCTTTTCGGAGAGGTCCTTGGGTTTTTGATGCTTCGTTGGTTCGGCCAGGGGGGCATCATGTGTTGTGTCCAGTTGCGGCGCTTTGCCATTACCTGCATGCTGGGGATGCGCTTTGGATTGATCTGGTTTCCCATGTTCCCTTTTCCTGGGCTCAGGTCTCCGAGGTCGACCGCAGGGTTATTCAATCTAGCCAGTCTGGGGTCTATCCTCGTGCCCATGCCATTCGGACATTTGCAGCTTTCGCTGCCTTGCTTGATAACATGTCTTGGGCTCACTTCGGGCGCGGGCATTTGGAGGTCGTACAGGTCGGGCATTTGGAGGTTGTATGTATGAGAGAATGTGCAGGGACTTAATATCTAACATATTCAGAGATTTGAGTAGGGGTACCGAGTGATGTCTGGGGCCAGAGTTGGATATTGTCCTAATAGCAGCTTTGTGTTGAGTAATTAGATCACGTAAATGATTTTGGGTAGTAGGTCATACAGATCCCTGGCCGCCCGTTATTTTGTAAGCGTGTCTGCTCCTGGGTGTTCTTGGGTTGCTTTGGGTCGCAGGTTGCAGCCTGTTGTCTCGACTTTGCGGTGTGGAGTTTGTGGCGGCCGCCTCTCGGGTCAGCCCTTTCTTTTCCTTCTCTTTGGGTATGAAGCTCCCGGGAGCCGTCGGGGCTACCCTCAGAAAACCAGCGTTGAATGTAATGAAACGCCATTTTCTGGGTGAGCCCCGGGGTCTCCCTGGCAAGCCTCCCTCCCACCGATCGGTGGTTTTTTCACATGTGTTGAAGCTTAGCTTCCGAATTGGAGTGCTTTGCAGCAGGCGCGGTGAGGTCCGGGGCCCCCACTCCCCCTCTCGGGGAGGGGAGGGCTGCGCGGATGAGCGGCGCGGCAGTAGTGATTTACGTTTGCTTGTTAGCTTGTTTCCTTGGGATTGTAGGGAGTTCTACCTCTCTTTGGTTTTTGTTGTTTAGTTTCTTACCATGTGGGGTTTGTTTTGTTATGCCTACCTTTCTGGGTGCTTAACCCCGGTCGATGGCAGATAAGGAAAACCCCCAACCACTAGGGGGGGTTTTCCAGGGCCATTGCTCCCTGAAACCTCTCTGAAGGGGCCAGGTTCTGGCACTGGTCCCTGGTAGGTCTGAACTCCATAGCTAATGTCCCAGTCTAATATAACATACATTAGCCCGATAAGCTCTAGGGAACCGTAGGGGCTCACCCAGAAAATGGCGTTTCATTATATTCAACGCTGATTTTTTGTGCAAGAAAGAAAGAATATTCTGTATTTATAATTTGTTTTCTTTTCCATATTTAGCCAGACTCAAGTAAATTGACTGCTTTGTCTTTCAGACTGTTTTTAACTAAATAATTTACTGGTGCAAGTTTTTCTATACGTATAAAGTGAGTCTTGTATTGCTAATGTTTGGCCATTATATTATATAATCATTTCGTTAATGGTTGATGCTTATTTCACATGTGTAATTTTGTTATCAAATGCTTTGTAGACCAGAGCTGAAGCCTATTGAGAAGGAGGTAGGACTGGTGTTGAAATTCCCTGAAGTAGAGAAGTTGAACACACCCATTCTACAGCTTGACGAAGTGCAGTTTGAATATACCAAAGGAATGACAATATTCTCCGGAGTTAATCTGTCGGCAGCCATGGATTCTAGAATATGTATTGTAAGTACTGTAATTTTTTTATTGTTTCTCTGCGGTGAAGTAAAGCTTATGAGTATACACAAACTTCTGTATGGTGAAGTAAAGCTTATGAGTATACACAAGCTTCTGTATGATGAAATAAAGCTTATGAGTATACACAAGCTTCTGTATGGTGAAGTAAAGCTTATGAGTATACACAAGCTTCTGTATGGTGAAGTAAAGCTTATGAGTATACACAAGCTTCTGTATGGTGAAGTAAAGCTTATGAGTATACACAAGCTTCTGTATGGTGAAGTAAAGCTTATGAGTATACACAAGCTTCTGTATGGTAAAGTAAAGCTTATGAGCATACACAAGCTTCTGTATAGCCCCAAAATATTAGTGATAGAATAATGTATCGGAATATAGTGAAAGTGATGGCTTTATATTACTTGTCTGTGGGGAGCCCCTTCAGTTCCCTGGAGCTATCGGACTGATATGCGATATATTAGTCTGGGGCTTCAGTCAGTGGAGTTCTGCCTACAGGGGACCATGAGCCAGAACCTGGCCCTCTCAGAGAAGCACAAGGAGCAAAGGCCTATATAAACCCCCCATGTGTTTGGGAGCATTCCATGTCTGCCATTGACCGGGGTTTTGCACCCAGAAACATAGGCTTCCCAAAACAGACCCCAACTGGAGAAACATTGCTACCGAAAGCTGAACTGCCAAGCAGAACTCCCCAATCTGAAAACAAGCAAACAAGCATGACGTCACATCTGCCGCCACACCGCCTGTCTCACAGCTCCCCCCCCTTCCCAGGAGGGGGAAGGGGGACCCCAGACCCTCTACGTTGGCTACCCAACCTCAGTTCTGATGCTGTTGTGCTAGGTGACAGTCGTTCGGCTATGGCTCCTGACTCTGTACAGTGCGGTGGCCTTCGGGATTGTTTTGCTGTGTTGTGGTGTGCGAGCTAGGAGTAATTCACGAAGTACTAGGGCTGCATGCCCCTAGTGCCACCTTCTTCAGGTGCCCTGTAGGTACTGCCCCTTGTGTCTTGGGGTTGCCTTCCACAAGTCATTTGGAGACTATCTCTGTAGGGATCTTTTGCTGCTCGGTAATTACCCGACCTTGGGGTCAGCTGGGGTTTTCATAGTCTCTGTTTGGCCTTGGGTAGGAGTTGGTATCGTAGCTGCTAGGGGCACAAGGTACTGTGCAGCTTGTCTCCCATTGATCACAGTAGCTGGTCTGTTCCTCCTAGGGATGTTGTGCTTTTGTGGGGTTTTCTTTTTCTTTTGTTTGTTTTGCCTGTTGGGGGTCTTCCCCTCGGCCGTTGTCTTCCCTCATGTTATTCTGGCGGTCTCCCGCTAAACCCTGTGATTGTACAGGTCGCAGGGGTTCAGCTTTATTTGTTTTCTCTGTATTTTGGGAACCGGTTAGCAGTACCTTGCCTGGGTTTTTCTTAGAAAGTCCAGGCAAGGTCCCCTACCGGGGACCACGAGCCAGAACCTGGCTCCCTCAGAGAGGCACGAGGAGCAATGGCCTATAGAAACCCCCGTGTGGATGGAAGCATTCTATGTCTGCCATCGACCGGGTCAGGCACCCAGAAAGATCTTCACCCCAAAACAAACCCATATTCTGTTGAAAATATAGCTACTGAAAGCCAAACGAGTGGACTGAACTCCCCAAATGAAAATTAACAAACTAGCATGACCTTATCACGTTGCCACGCCACTGTCTGCATCCCCCCCCCCCCCCCCCCGGGGGGGGGAAGAGGGAGCCCCAGACCCTCGTGCCAGCGATCCACACCCCAATTCTTGGCTGGTGTAATACTGGCAAGGTCGTGTGCCTTTGGCTCCAGATTTTGTCTCACTTTCTGTGCCTTGTGGCATGATTCTGTCTCTACGGTCAGTGAGCGAGCCAGGAGTAATATTCTTCAGTACTCGGGCTGCATGCGCCTAACGTTTCCTTCCCTAGGTGCCCTGTAAGTACTGCACTTGGGGCTTCGAGCCACTCTCCACAAGTCATTATGGTAAAGGGAGAAATGCTTGGAGTGACTCTGTGCACATACGGCTCAGGCTTGGGTGCAAATATTACTGGGAATATGAGATAGGTATTCATGATAATGACACAAAGTGTAAACTATGTGGTATATTAAAGTCTCACACCTTCACCCATTACATTATGTTCTTGATTGTCTGTTAATTAATGTATATAGAAACACTGAGATAAGGACTGTTCCTGAACAAATAGCCTGGATGTGTCACAACGGAAAGGTTGATGATATTCTGGAGAAATATAAGAATTTTGCACCAAGACTGTATTATTTTGTTGAATTATCTGCATGTGTCTTACAAATTGTCTATACAGAGTACCTAAGTCATAAAAGTATTTGTGTGCACGTCTGATACCATACTGCTTGTGTAAAGGAGGAAATGTATATGTTTATTTCTCAGAATGTTCGGCAATTTGTTTATTGTTTGTGATGTGTGTCTATATATGTGTGAACACATTGTATTTTACTGAACAGGGTGAGAATAGCTTTAGCTACCTCATCCCTTTGTGTGTATTTTACCTCAGTAAACTTATTTCAATTTCAATTTCCACAAGTCATCTTGTGGGTCTATCTCTGTGGAGTCCCTTACAGCTTACATGCTTGATACCTGCTTGATGGGATTCTGGGAGTTCTTCTATTTCCCAAGCCTGGCCTAAGGCCAGGCTTGACTTGTGAGAGTTTGGTCCACCAGGCTGTTGCTTGGAGCGGCCCACAGGCCTACATACCCACCACAGCCCAGTTGGTCCGGAACTACTTGAAGAAAACTATCTAGTTTTCTCTTGAAGATGTCCATGGTTGTTCAGGCAATATTTCTTATGCTCGCTTGGAGGATGTTGATCATCCGCGGACCTCTGATGTTTATACAGTGTTCTCTGATTGTGCCTATGGCACCTCTGCTCTTCACTGGTTCTATTCCGCATTTTCTTCCATATCGTTCACTCCAGTATGTTGTTATTTTTCTATGCAGATTTGGGACCAGGCCTTCCAGTATTTTCCATGTATATATTATTTGATATATTTCTCATCTCCTTTCTAGTTGGAGATGGACATTTGGAGAGCTTTTGAGACGATCCCAATAATTTAGGTGCTTTATCGCGTCTATGCGTGCCGTATATGTTCTCTGCATTCCCTCTATTTCAGCAATCTCTCCTGCTCTGAAGGGAAAAGTGAGCACTGAGCAGTACTCAAGCCGGGACAACACAAGTGATTTGAAGAGTACAACCATTGTGATTGGATCCCTGGATTTGAAAGTTCTCATAATCCATCCGATCATTTTTCTGGCTGACGCAATATTTGCTTGGTTATGCTCACTAAACGTTAGGTCGTCAGACATCATTAATCCCAAATCCTTTAAATGCTGTTTTCCTACTATGGGCAAATTTGATTGTGTTTTGTAACCTGTATTATGTTTATGGTCCTCATTTTTACCATACCTGAGTACCTGGAATTTATCACTGTTGAACATGACTGCTCAGTGATTGATCGCCCTTAGAGTCAGCTGAGATTTTTGTTTCCCCCCGTTTGTCTCTGGGTAGGAGGTAGTTTTCGTCACTGGTTGGGGCGTAGGGTACAGCACAGCTATTTGTAACCTCTCATAGCGGCCAGCTCTGTACCGCCTGGGCACATTGTCGTCTTGCGGGGGTTTTTATTTTTGTTTTGTTTTCTCTGCCTGGTGGAGGGTCTGCCCCCTTGTTTGGTTGTACCTCTTGTTCTTGGTGGCTTTTCGATAGGCCCCTGTGAGTGTTCACATCCCGGGGGTGCAGCTTTTAGTAGTTTGCTTGGAAGTTTCGGATGCCTGTTAACTGTACCCTCCCTGGGCTTCCCTTAGCTGACTACCACGACTAAGGGCCCTGGGGGGATCTGTGGTCCAATGGTTGCTCTGTCTCCTTGTCTCGGGGTGACGATCACCGGTTGTGCCTCCGCCATGCCGCCTGTCGGGTCAGAGATTCTTTTGACCCAGAGTCGTGCGACGTTTGTTGTTTGTACATTCTCCAGTTCACCCAAGCTACTGATCATGATATGAGGGAGCAGGCAGGGTTTTGCATGCTAGGTTTAGGTTGCTGCAACGCGATAGGTTACTTGCTTCCTCGGAAAGTTTCCTCGCCCCAAGAAAGCCCCGACCGAGACTGCCCCATTTTAGTTATAAGGACCTGGACTTGGGGGGTAGGAGTCGCTTCGACTTTGGTTCGTCCCTCCTTGTCCTTGCCCTTCTGTTATGTGTCCGGTTCCTTCCCCTTGCTTCCTGCTCCGAAACCTAGGAGGGTATCGGGGAGTCGGGGCAGGGTCTAGTTGGTGTTGAAACTCGGCCAGTTTCAGGGGAGTCCCCTTCTGGGGTGGCGGCAGAGACATTTGAGCCTGGTCCTCCAGCCGGAGGTTTTGGGTCTGACCAGTGGGTCCCCCTACGATACTGCTTTTTCGGCGGCTCCTGCCTTTTCTCTAGAGGCGGGGTGTTTAGAGGACGGCTTGGCCCCGGGTCCTCAAGGTGAGGTTCCCGAGGTGGAAGGTTCTCCCTTCTCCTCGGTTTGTGGTGGCCCCTTCGGTTCAGGATTGTTTGGCAAAGGCTCTTTTCTTGTTGGCATTGGCCTCTGGGGGCCGGATCGTGGAGATTCATGCTCTCCAGTGCAGGGGTTTCTGCTCTTTTGGGACTGGTGGTAGGTTTGTTCATTTGCATCCGTCTCCTTCTTTTCTGGCAAAGAATGTGACTGCTTCTTTCCAGAGGGGTCCTCAGGGTTGTTGATGCTTGGTTGTTCAGGCCGGGGGTGCATCATGTGTTGTGTCCAGTTGACGCTCTCCGCCGTTACCTGTGTGCCACGACCCCAGTGGCTGGGAACGTGCATTGGGTTGACCCGGTTTCCCTTCTTCCCTGTTCCAGTGTCCGGTCTCCCAGGTCGTCCGCAGGGTAATTTGGTCCAGCCAGCCTGTAGTCTATCCTCGTGCCCACGACATTTGTAAGTTTGCTGCGCTGGCTGCCGTCTTCAGTAACATATCTTGGGCTGACATTTGGGCACAGGGATTTTGGAGGTTGAACAGGGTCTTGGCCACTTGCTGCCTTGTCAGTGTTCCTTGGCCTAGTCGGGCCTGTGTCGCTTTGGGTCAGCGGTGGCAGCCAGTTTTCTTGACTTTGCGTTGAGGAACGAGGGCCGACTGCCTCCCGGGTAAGCCCCTCTTGTTTTTGTCTTTGGATAAGTAGCTCCGGGAATTCATAGGGGCTCCCCACAGAAAACCAGCATTGATGTAATGAAACCCCATTTTCTGGGTGAGACCCAGAGGCTTCCCGGCAACCCTCCCTCCCTCTGGTCAGCAGTTTTTTCTCATATTTTGACATCCAGCCTCAGAACTAGGGGTTTGGATAGCCGTCATGGAGGTCTGAGGCTCCCCGTTCCCCCTCCCGGGGAGGGGGGAGGCATGGCGCAGACAATATCACGGTGACGTGGTGACGTCATGCTCGTTTTCATTTGGGGGAGTTCTGTCCTCTAGTTCAGCTTTTAGTAGCAATATTTTTGCCAGAATAGGGATTTGTTTTGAGCCGCTTACCTTTCTTGGTGCCTGACCCTATCGATGGCAGACATAGAATGCTTTCAACCACACGGGGGTTTCTATAGGCCATTGGTCCTCGTGCTTCTCTGAGAGGGTAACTTTCTGGCTTGTGGTTCCCGGTAGGCCTAGAACTCCCTGTGAATTGACTGATGCCAGGGTCTAATACATTCATATGAGCTTGGTTAGCTCCGGGACTCACCTAGAAAATGGCGTTACATTACATTCAACGCTGGTTTTTATTGATACAGTAATGTCTTACTATTACAGGTTGGTGAAAATGGTACGGGAAAAACTACCTTGCTGAAGATCCTGCTAGGAGAGCTAGAACCTACTTCTGGCCATAGGGTTTGCAACAGGTAAGACCCTAATCCATAGGAAATCTGGAGGCTTCTACTGAATCTACAGGATGTCTGGAGGCTTCCACTAAATCCATAGGAAGTCTGGAGGCTTCCACTAAATCCATAGGAAGTATGGAGGCTTCCACTGAATCCATAGGAAGTCTGGAGGCTTCCATTAAATCCATAGGAAGTCTGGAGGCTTCCACTGAATCCATAGGAAGTATGGAGGCTTCCACTGAATCCATAGGAAGTCTGGAGGCTTCCACTGAATCCATGGGAAATCTGGAGGCTTCCACTGAATCTACAGGATGTTTGGAGGCTTCCACTGAATCCATAGGTCGTGTGGAGGCTTCCACTGACTCCATAGGAAGTCTGGAGGCTTCGACTTGTGTATTTATGTTTGTAGGTTAGCTTAGCATTTTAAAAGCACTACAATCACCTTTTGTGGTTGATTGTTCAATAAGTCACTGAACCCTATGTTTAACAGATCTCTAACCCTGTCCATGGCAGATGGGAGGATATGTATATATGCTGGTTAGCATTGTAAATATGTGGCCACGTTTGTGGTAGAAAAAAAAACTGAATCCATAGTTTAATAGACATACAGAGTTTAATGTGATTAAACCCCCCCCCTACATCTGTGGACTCTCCACAGACACCCCTCCCCTCACAACCCCCCCCCCCCCCTCCTTAACAAACACTCCCCCACACAAAGAAAAATTGAGGAAAAACGCCCATCACAAATGCTCTCCAGAAACTCCCACCACACAAATATGCACAAACACCCAAAAAAACATCCCGCAAACATGCACAAACACCCCTTCCCACAAACATGTAACACTAAACCCACAAATACCCTCTACAAACACTTCCCCACAAACACTTCCCCCAGCCCCACAAACACTTCCCCACAAACACTTCCCCACAAACACTTCCCCACAAACACTTCCCCACAAACACTTCCCCACAAACACTTCCCCACAAACACTTCCCCACAAACACTTCCCCACAAACTCTTCCCCACAAACACCCTGCCCCACAAACACTTCCCCACAAACACCCCGCCCCACAAACACTTCCCCACAAACACTTCCCCACAAACACCGCCCCACCCCACCAACAAACCCCCCCCCCCACAAACCCACCCCACAAACACCCCACCCCACAAACACCCCACCCCACAAACACCCCCCCAAACACCCCCCCCCCACAAACACCCCCCCACAAACACCCCCCCCCCACAAAACACCCCCCCACCCCACCCACAAACACCCACCCCCCCCCACCCCCCCCACAAACCCCCCCCCCCAAACCCCCCCCCCACAAACACCCCCCCCCACCCACAAACACTCCCCACAAACATCCCCCACAAACACCCCCCCCCCCACCCCCCCCCCACCCCCCCCCCCCCCCCACAAACACCCCCCCACAAACCCCCCACAACACACCCCCCCCCACAATCACACCCCCACAAACACCCCCCCACAAACACCCCCCACAAAACACCCCCCACAAACACCCCCCCACAAACACCCCCCCCACAACCAACCCCCCCCCACAAACACCCCCCCACACAAACCCCCCCCCACAAACACCCCCCCCACACCCCCCCCCCCCACAAACACCCCCCCACAAACACCTCCCCCCCCACCCCCCACAAACACCCCCCCACAAACACCCCCACAAACACCCCCGCAAACACCCCCCACAAACACCCCCCCCCCACAAACACCCCGTCCCACAAACACCCCCCCCCACACAAACACCCCCCCCCCACAAACACCCCCCCCCCCCACAAACACCCCGCCCCCACAAACACCCCGCCCCCACAATCACCCCGCCCCACAAACACACCCCCCCCCACAAACACCCCGCCCCACAACACCCCCCCCCAACACAAACACACCCCCCCACACAAACACCCCCCCACCACACCCCCCCCCCCACACCCCCCCCCACAAACACCCCCCCACAAACACCCCCCCCCCAAAAAACCCCCCCAATAAACACCCCCCCCCCCATAAAACACCAACCCCCCCCAAACACCAACCCCCCCCCCACAAACACCAACTCCCCCACAAACACCAACCCCCCCACAAACACCAACCCCCCCCCACAAACACCAACCCCCCCACAAACACCAACCCCCCCCCCACAAACACCAACCCCCCACACAACACCCCCCCACAAACACACACACCCCCCCACAAACACACACACCCCCCACAAACACACACCCCCCCACAAACACACACCCCCCCACAAACACACACACCCCCACAAACACCCCCCCCAGACACCCCCCCCCAATAAACACCCCCCCCCCACAAACAAACAAACACCCCCCCACAAACACCCCCCCCCCCCCACAAACACCCCCCCCCCCACAAACACCCCCCCCCACAAACACCCCCCCCCACAAACACCCCCCCCACAAACACCCCCCCCCCCACAAACACCCCCCCCCCCCACAAACACCCCCCCCACAAACCCCCCCCCCCCACAAACACCCCCCCCCACAAACACCCCCCCCCACAAACCCCCCCCCACAAACCCCCCCCCCACAAACACGCCCCCACAAACCCACCCCACAACACCCCCCCCCCCCCACAAACACCCCCCCCCCCCCACAACACCCCCCCCCCCACAAACCCCCCCCCACAAACACCCCCCCCCACAAACACCCCCCCCCCACAAACACCCCCCCACAAACACCCCCCCACAAACACCCCCCCCCCACAACACCCCCCCCACAAACACCCCCCCCACAAACACCCCCCCCCCACAAACACCCCCCCCCCCACAAACACCCCCCCCCCACAAACACCCCCCCCCCCACAAACACAACACCCCCCACAAACACCCCCCCCACAACCCCCCCCCACAAACACCCCCCCGTCCCACAAACACCCCCCCCCACACAAACACCCCCCCCCACAATCACCCCCGTCCCACAAACACCCCCCCCCCACAATCACCCCGTCCCACAAACACCCTGCCCCACAAACACCCCCCCCCCAACACAAACACCACCCCCCCACACAAACACCCCCCACACAAACACCCCCCCCACACAACACCCTCCCACAAACACCCCCCCCCAAAAAAAAAAAAAAACCACACCCCCCCCCCCCAATAAACCCCCCCCCCCCCATAAACCCCCCCCCACAATAAACCCCCCCCCCCACAAACACAAACCCCCCCACAAACACCAACCCCCCCACAAACACCAACCCCCCCCCCACAAACACCAACCCCCCCCACAAACACCAACCCCCCCCACAAACACCACCCCCCCCACAACACACACCCCCCCCACAAACACACACCCCCCCACAACACACACCCCCCCACAACAAACCACACCCCCCCCCCACAACACACACCCCCACACAACACCCCCCCCCAAACACCCCCCCCCCAACAAACACCCCCCCACAAACACCCCCCCCCCCACAAACACCCCCCCCACAAACACCCCCCCCCCACAAACACCCCCCCCCACAAACACCCCCCCCCCACAAACACCCCCCCCCCCACAAACACCCCCCCCCCCACAAACACCCCCCCCACAAACCCCCCCCCCCACAAACACCCCCCCCACCAAACACGCCCCCACAAACACCCCCCACAAACACCCCCCCCCCACAAACACCCCCCCCCCCCCACAAACACCCCCCCCACAAACCCCCCCCCACAAACACCCCCCCCCCCCACAAACACCCCCCCCCCACAAACACCCCGCCCCACAAACACCCCCCCCCCACAAACACCCCCCCCCACAAACACCCCCCCACAAACACCCCCCCCCACAAACAACACCCCCACACAAACACAACACCCCCCTCAAACACCCCCCCCACAAACAGCCCCCCCCCCACAAACAGCCCCCCCCCCACAACACACCCCCCCCCCACAAACACCCCCCCCCACAAACACCCCCCCCCCCCCCACAAACCCCCCCCCTCACAAACACCCCCCCCTCACAAACACCCCCCCCCACAAACACCCCCCCCCCACAAACACCCCCCCCCCCCTACAAACACCCCCCCCAAACACAACACCCCCCACAAATACAACCCCCCCCACAAACACAACACCCCCCACAAACACAACACCCCCCACAAACACAACACCCCCCACAAACACAACACCCTCAAACACCCCCCCCCCCACAAACACCTTGCCCCACAAACACACTGCCCCACAAACACCCCGCCCCACAAACACACTGCCCCACAAACCCCCCCCCCACAAACACACACCCCCACAACCACCCCCCCCCCACAAACACACACCCCCCCCACAAACACACACACCCCCCACAAACACCCCCCCCCACAAACACCCCCCCACAAACACCCCCCCCACAAACACCCCCCCACAAACCACCCCCCCACAAACACCCCCCCCACACACCACCCCCCCCACAAACACCCCCCCCCCCCACAAACTCCCCCCCCCACAAACACCCGCCCCACAAACACCCACCCCCACAAACACCCCCCCACAAACACCCCCCCACAAACACCCCCCCCACAACACCCCGCCCCACAAACACACTGCCCCACAAACACCTCCCCCCCACAAACACCTCCCCCACAAACACCCCCCCCCCACAAACACCCCCACCCCACAACACCCCCCCACAAACACAACCCCCCCACAAACACCCCCCTCCACAAACACCCCCTCACAAACACCCCCCCAAACACACCCCGCCCCACAAACACCTCGCCCCAGAAACACCCCCCACAAACACCCCCCCCACAAACAAACCCCCCCCCCCCAAACACCCCCCCCCCCACAAACCCCCCCCCCCCACAAACACAACACCCCCCTCCACAAACACCCCCCTCCACAAACACCCCCCTCCACAAACACCCCCTCCACAAACACCCCCCTCCACAAACCCCCCCCTCCACAAACACCCCCCTCCACAAACACCCCCCTCCACAAACACCCCCCTCCACAAACACCCCCCCGACAAACACCCCCCACAAACACCTGCCCCCACAAACACACTGCCCCCACAAACACACTGCCCCCACAAACACACTGCCCCCACAAACACACCCCCCCACAAACACACCCCCCCCCACAAACCCCCCCTCCACAAACACCCCCCCCACAAACACCCTCCCACAAACACCCCGATTCATTTCTCTCAATGTTTGCGGACGATGCTAAAATTATGAGAAGGATTAAAACAGAAGAGGACTGTTTGAGGCTTCAAGAAGACCTAGACAAGCTGAAGGAATGGTCAAACAAATGGTTGTTAGAGTTTAACCCAACCAAATGTAATGTAATGAAGATAGGTGTAGGAGCAGGAGGCCAGATACAAGGTATCATCTGGGAGAGGAAATTCTTCAGGAGTCAGAGAAGGAAAAAGACTTGGGGGTTGATATCACGCCAGACCTGTCTCCTGCAGCACATATCAAGCGGATAACATCAGCGGCATATGCCAGGCTGACCAACATACGAACGGCATTCAGAAACTTGTGTAAAGAATCATTCAGAACTTTGTATACCACATATGTCAGGCCAATCCTGGAGTATGCAGCCCCAGCATGGAGTCCATATCTAGTCAAGGATAAGACTAAACTGGAAAAGGTTCAAAGGTTTGCCACCAGACTAGTACCCGAGCTGAGAGGTATGAGCTACGAGGAGAGACTACGGGAATTAAACCTCACTTCGCTGGAAGACAGAAGAGTTAGGGGGGACATGATCACCACATTCAAGATTCTGAAGGGGGTTGATAGGGTAGATAAAGACAGTCTATTTAACACAAGGGGAACACGCACAAGGGGACACAGGTGGAAACTGAGTGCCCAAATGAGCCACAGAGATATTAGAAAGAACTTTTTTAGTGTCAGAGTGGTTGACAAATGGAATGCATTAGGGGGTGATGTGGTGGAGGCTGACTCCATACACAGTTTCAAGTGTAGATATGACAGAGCCCAATAGGCTCAGGAATCTGTACACCTGTTGATTGACGGTTGAGAGGCGGGACCAAAGAGCCAGAGCTCAACCCCCGCAAACACAACTAGGTGAGTACAACTAGGTGAGTACCCCCCCACAAACACACCCCCACAAACACCCCCCCCCCCACAAACACCCCCCCACAACACCCCCCCCCTAACAATCCCCCCCCCCCCCACCCACTGCCAAAATATTCTCTCAGATACATCATGTTAGTGAGTTGATTATGTTGGAAATTATATTGTATGTTAAGTGGTTAAATTGTTGAGTGTGTTTTGTATATTTCATATTTGTTTTTGTTGTTGTGACAGGTCTCTGAGAATAGGGTACTTCACGCAGCACCACGTGGACCAGTTAGATCTGAGGATGTGCTCAGTGGAACTCTTGCAGAACAAATATCCAGGTGGGTTCTTAGAGTCTTCTGTATTACCAGTCTTGAGTTAGTGTTGTGGCTGTATGTACATGTCACTGCTGGTGGGTCATTCTTGAGCTGATGCGCTGCCTGTCGGACGACACCTCTGGCTTCAAATTCCGGTTAATTCTGGCTTGTGTTTTGTGTGGTGGCCAGGTGTCTTAGTGTACTGGAGGTGCATGTGCCTAGGGTTTTCTTCCCTTCGTGTTCCGTAAGTACTACCCTTGCTTTTCAGGGTGATCTTCCCTGGGGCATTCTGGACTTGCTCCCTGTTGAGGACCTCTTTCTCAACCACTCCCCATTGCTTGAGGTTGTCTTCGCCTTTGGGGTGCATCGGGGGTCTTGGGCCTTTCTGACTTACACCGGGTAGGGGAAGTGTTATTGGCTGATTGTGTGCACTGCGGCTGGTGGTGCAGCTAGCTTTACTTCCAATGCGTGGACATCTTCAAGAGAAAACTAAATAGTTTTCTTCAAGGAGTGCCGGATCAACCGGACTGTGGTGGATATGTGGGCCTGCGGGCCGCTCCAAGCAACAGTCCGGTGGACCAAGCTCTCACAAGTCAAGCCTGGCCTTGGGCTGGGCTTGGGGGGTAGAAGAACTCCCAGAACCCCATCAAGCAGGCGTCAAGCAGCAGGCCGATGTTTCTCTTCGACTGCTAGTTTGTTTGTTGTGTGATTTCTGGGGTTTTGTTTTTCATTTTCTGGCATTTTTGCCTGTGTGGACAGAGGAGGTCTGCATAGCTACTTATTAGGTTTGCCTATTTTGTTGTGGTTGTTCTCCTCTGTTTCCCCCGATGATTCACGGCTGCTACCGGTAGTGAGTTTGCCTGATATAGACAAGATTCTACCGGCTTTGCTGTCTCCAGTGCCGGGAGGCTTCCCGGCACTGGAACCCAACCCTTTTACCCTGTCGTAGCTCAGTCGATTAAGGCAGTGTCTGGGATGCTCCCGGACGCAAGTTCGAATCCTCGTCACGGCCCTTGTGGATTTGTTCATTTGATGCATCACGTTAGTGTGATCTCTGTGTGATGATGTAAGGGCGAAGAGGGAGAACAGCCTATTGACATAGCTCGGGTGCAGGGGGGTTGTGTAAAAGACTGGTTTGGGCCTCGGAGAGGCTACGGGATCCAGTAAGTTCAGTAGAACTTCAGTTTCAACCCTTTTACCCTGTCGTAGCTCAGTCGATTAAGGCAGTGTCTGGGATGCTCCCAGACGCAGGTTCGAATCCTCGTCACGGCCCTTGTGGATTTGTTCTTCTGCTGGTAGCTTTCGGTATCAATGTTCCTTCTGCGCCGTTTCACAGGCTGTCTTGTGCGTTGTTTCACCTCCTGCCTGTGCCGTCCTGGTCTTTGGACAGGGTGCTCTCCTGTTTTTCTTCTCCTTGGTGGTTGTGGCTCCTTGGGGTCAGGTTTGCTTTGCCTCGGCTCTCTTTTTATGTTGGCATTGGCCTCTGGGGGTCGTGTGGCAGAGCTTCATGCTCTTCTCAGGCGCAGTGGTTTTTGGCTCCTATGGTCGTGGTCATAGGTTTCTTCGTCTGCGGCCGTTCTCCCTTTTTCTGGCGAATGATGTGCCTGCTGCTTTCCGGAGGGGTCCTTGGGTTGTTGTCTCGACTTCGTGTTGAGGAGTGGGGCACCGACTGCCTCCCGGGTATGTCCCCTTTTCTTAAGTAGTCTTTGGTGAAGTAGCTCCGGGGAGCCGTAGGGGCTCCCCCCAGAAAACCAGCGTTGATTGTAATGAAACGCCATTTTCTGGGCGAGTCCTGGAGGCTCCCCGGCACCCTCCCGCCCTCCGGTCGGCGGGTTTTTCGCGGTTTTGATATCCAATCTCAGAACTGGGGCGGGGATCGCCGGCGCGGGGGTCTGGGGCTCCCCCCTCCCGGGGAGGGGGGAGCTGCGCAGACATGCGGCGCGGCTCATGTGACGTCATGCTTGTTAGTTCGTTTTTCTGGGGGAGTTCTGTCCACGCGTTTGTCGATTTTTGTTGTTAACCAGAATTGGGGTTTGTTTTGTGGCGCTTATCTTTCTGGGTGCCTGCCCCGGTTGATGGCAGATATAGAATGCTCCAAATCACATGTGCAATTCTATGGGCCATTGCTCCCCGTGCCTCTCTGAGGGGGCCAGGTTCTGGCTTTGTTTTGAAGGGTTTTGCCCCTTCCGGGGTTTTTCTGCTGTTGGGCGACGTTTTTCGCCCATCCAGTCTGCTAGCTTCCCACATTTGCTGGCGTGTTTTTGTGTATTTAGCGTCAGTCACAGCCCCTGCTGGCGGCCATTTTCGTCTGCTGGTTTCACGGCGTGGCCACCAGGGCGGCGTTGCGGTTTGTTTACATGCGTCTGGGTGTGCGAGCGAGCGTCTCTGGTGAGTTTTCAAATTTTTTTCAGGGTTTTTGTTCTCCTGTTGTCGTTTCTTTGTTTTTCTGGTGTTTTCTTGCCGTTGCCTGTTCCTCTGGGAACGTTTGGGTGTTGATTTTGGGTCTGGCCTATGGGTTTAGGCTCAGTGCCCCTGGCTGGTATGCTTGCTCCCACACCTTGCCCCCTAGGTTTTCGGTCTGTTGGGACCGTTTTCCTAGGGCGTTCTGCTGGGGGCTGTGCTTTGCCTTTCAGTGGTGTTCTCCGCCGGCAAATGTGGTGGTTTGGGCTCCCCCTGGTTCGATTCTGGGTTCCTTTGGGTTCCTTGGTTTCGTTCTGGAGGTTTCTTCCTCTTGGGGCCCCCTTTTGTGGGTTCAGGGGACTTTGTTTCCTCGTGTGACCCGGTTCTGCCTTTTGGGGTTCTGGGGTCTTCCTGGCTTGCAGACTGATCTTTTTGGGTCTTGGCACATGTTGTGGTTGTGCTGGGACTTTGTGGTTTTGCTGTCGAGGTGGGCCTTTTGATGCAGTTTTGTGCCTTCTTTGCCTGGCCGGCGTAGTGCTCTCTGCCCACTAGTCGGCGACTTGTGCTTTTACAATATATGTCCTCACCTAGTTGTGCTTGTGGGGGTTGAGCTCTGGCTCCTTGGTCCTGCCTCTCAACCGTCTATCAACAGGTGTATAGGTTCCTGTGCCTCTTGGGCTCTGTCATGTCTACATGTGACATTGTATGTGGGTCAGCCTCGTTACTTGTGTGTGGAGTCACCACATTACTTCCTAGTGCTTTCCCGTTCCCATTCTGACACTAAAAAAAAAAAAAAATAAATAAAAAATAAAATTCTATCTGTGGCTCTTTTGGGTACTCAGTTTCCACCTGTGTCCCCTAGTGCGTGTGCCCCTTGTGTTACATAGCCTGTCCTTATCAACCCTGTCGATTCCCTTGGGTATCTTGAATGTGGTGATCAGGTCTCCCCTCACTTCATCTTCCAGCGAAGTGTGGTTTCATTCCCGTAGTCTCTCCTCATGACTTCGGTGGTGTACTTTTTCTTTCTGAAGGGGTTCTGTTCCCTTCTCTGTTGACTGGGCGCTGGGGGAGCAGCTTGCTCTGTTGCCTCTCACTTGGTCCCGCTGTTGGTGGGCGCTTTGGGTTGTCTTCCGGCCTCTGCTGGCGTCGGAGGACGGCTTCTCCCCCTTGAGGGGGGTTCAGAGCTGGCGGGGTGGGCTTCTTCCCCTGCGCTTCGTCATTTCCTCTTCGTGGGTGCGTGGGGCGTGGTCGATCCGCCCCATCCTTCTGGGCTTCCCGTCTGCTCTTTGCAGTCATGAGCTTTTCCCGTCTGCAGTTCTTCTGGACTTCTTCAGTCTGCGCCCTGGATCCTCTGCCCTCCTCGGAGGACTGTTGTCTCCTGTTCGGATTCTGTTAGGGCCGGGTGCATGGATGGTGGCCCTGGACCTCCAGGTCACTTCTTGGCACGTTCCTCTCCAGTTTTTCTGGGGCTAGCACGGTTGGTGGTGGGGCTTCAGGTTTTTATTGCCTTCCATATTTTGTAATGGGCACTTCGTATACTCTTTGCATCTTTACCGGATCTTAGTGCCCTGTCTGAGTCTGAGATTCGGTGTCTGGCCTACCTCGACGACTGACTGGTGTGGGCTCCCAGTCTGTCCGCTTGTCTGCTCGCCAGGGGATGGTTCCTTCCAGATCGCCGGGTTTGGTTTCCTGGTGTTCTGGAGGTTTTTCCATCTGTTTCTGTCCCGGGTTCGGACCTCGGCCTTGTTTAAGGCTCTTGGGCCACTCATTGTCTTTCCCTCCAGAAGTGTTACTGCGGCTGTGGTTTTGCCTTCGGCTGTACAGGGGGGGGGTTCCCAGGTTGCTCAGCGGTTGCTTGAGCGGTTGTGCGGGAGTCTGCACTTCGGCGTGCTTGTCTGCCCGCGGAGTCGGGTTTGGCTACGGCGTCTGTTGGTTCCTGCAGAGACTCCCCTTCCGCCTCTTGCATTCATTGGGTTCCTCCGGGGATCTTGTGTTGGTGCTGCGTCACCAGCTTCCTCTTTGGGGTTTTCGGGGTTCTGTGCCTTGGCACCTCCCCGAGCCTTCGTTCGATGTGTTCACGGACGGGTCGTCTCTCGGCTGGGGCTTTGTGACCAGTGCTCACCAGGTCAGCCGAGGTTGATGGAGTCTGTCTGTCCGTCGGGCTCACAGCACGGTTCAGGTGTTCGTGGCTGTCTGGTTTGCGCTTCGGAGGGTTTGGGTCACTAGGTACTCTACCATTCAGCTCTGTTTGGACTGTTCTCTGGTGGTTCTTGCCGGAACCACAGGGGTTTGGCTAACCATGAGGTTCATGTCCGGGGTGTGTCCTGCGTCCTGGCGGACAGCTGTCTCGGTTCATTCCTCTTCGTGGGTTGGCCAGTCGTCGCCCATTCGTTTTGTTGGCTCTGTCGGGCGTATGGACTCCTGGCCATGGACGTCTTCGGGTCAGCGTGGTCTAGGCGTCGCCCATTTTGTGGCGCCCTTTCCCACCTGCGAGGACTTCACGGTGGATGCTTTCGGCAGGACTGGTCGAGGTGGGGGTACCTGTTCCTCTTCTCCCGGTCCAGCTGTTGCTTCGGATTCTGGCTTGGTTGCAGCCCATTCCCACGAGAGCAGTCCTTATGGTTTCATGGTGGCCGGCCCGGCCTTCTTTTCAGACGCTGCTTGATAGGTGTCCATACCCAGGGCGTTTTTCCTGAGGCTCCGCCTCTTTCCGCAGGCCGAATCGGTCCTGTCCGTGACTGGTTCGGCCTTCTCCTTGGCTCTTCGCGTCTGGTATTTTGACGCGGGTATCACCATCTCTATGGTGTTCAGGTGGCTTTGTTGACGGTGTCCCACCTGCGAGCTTCGTCTTGGCGACAGTATGACGTTTCATACGTTTTCTCGTGTTTTGTTTCCCCTCTGGCCTGCTCATGCGTCGCCTGAGCCATCCTGGTCCTTGATCAGGGTGCCTTCCTATCTTCCCCTCAGTTTGTGGTAGCCCCTTCGGTTCAGTTTCCTGCTCTTTGGTACTCGTGGTAGCTTTATAGGTGTGCAGCCTTTCTCTGTCCTGGCGACGGTCGAGACGGCTGCTTTCTGAAGGGGTTCTTGGGGTATTGGTTCTTGATTGGTTTGGCCGGGGGATGCGTCCTGTGTTGTCCGGTTGTGCTTTTTGCAATTGTCAGCGTACCGTGTCTGGGGATGCGCTGTGGTTGATCCGGTTCCTTCGTTCCCTGTTTTCGGGGCTCGGGTCTCCCTGGTCGTCCGCAGAGTTTTCATTCTTCCAGCCTGCGGTCTGTCTTTGCGCCCGTGCTGTTCAGACGTTTGCAGCTTTTGCTGCTGTGTTGGCGACGTCTCTGGCTCATTTCGGGCGCAGGGATTTGTGGGTCGCACAGGCTCTTGGCCGCCCATCCTCATGCGCGTCTGCTCTTGGGCGTTCTTGTTGCCTTGGGTCGCAGGTTTGCGACCGGTTGTCTTGGCTTTGCGTTGCAGAGTTTGTGGCGGCCGCCTCCCGGGTTAGCCCTTTCTTTTCCTTCTCTTTGGGTATGAAGCTCCAGGGAGCCGTAGGGGCTCCCCACAGAAAACCAGCGTTGAATGTAATGAAACGCCATTTTCTGGGTGAGCCCCGGAGGCTCCCTGGCAACCCTCCCTCCCACCGGTCGGTGGTTTTTTCGCGTTGGTTGAAGCTTAGCTTCCGAACTGGAGCTTGGCAGCCGGCGCGGTAGGTCCGGGGCTCCCCCCTCCCCCTCCCGGGGCGGGGAGGGCTGCGCGGACGATCGGCGCGGCAGTAAAGTGTGATGTTTGCTTGTTTCCTTGTGGGGTTTCTACCTTTATGTTCGGTTTTTGTTTTTTACCATGTGGGGTTTGTTTTGTTATGCCTACCTTTCTGTGTGCCTAACCCTGGTCGATGGCAGATAAGGAAAACCCCAACCACAAGGGGTTTTCCAGGGCCATTGCTCCCTGAAACCTCTCTGAAGGGGCCAGGTTCTGGCGCTGGTCCCTGGTAGGTCTGAACTCCTTAGCTAATGTCCCGGTCTAATATAACATACATTAGCCCGATAAGCTCCAGGGAGCCTCCGGGGCTCACCCAGAAAATGGCGTTTCATTACATTCAATGCTGGTTTTTTAGGTCCAGACAGATGCAGTCAACCCAACCATCTCTTTCCTGTAAAATCTGTGGCTCGATCATGGAAAGTAAGTAAATTCAATACACAGGATCTTCCAGAGCAAAGTTGTGTTTGTCTCCAGGAACTGATGCTTGGGGCTCATTCTGGTCACTTTTGCTCCTCCAGAAAGAACCATTTCATTACAGTCAATGCTGGATTTTTGAAAGCACTTGTTATATATGCTTATTTATTTATTATTTATTTATTTATTTATTTATTATTAATATTTTGTTTTGATTTTTGTTTTGCTCAGAGTGCAAAGCAGAGTGGTAGATGATAACCATACTTTAAGGGTTAATTATGGACTTGTGCTAAACACTGGAACCAAACATCTACTGCAGTATCTAACATAAAGTGGTTTGCTATCATGTCTTAGGTATAACATATTTCATATGATTTTGTTGCTTACATTGTCTTTCATTCCCACGGCAATAGGAATGTTAAACTGCTAACACGGGAATCTGAGTTAAACTGCTTCCATTCAGTCCTGGTTAATACAAGGAATTTTGTGGTGTTTGCAAGCATTCCATATTTCCTTGTGTACCATATCCACATATCTTAGAAATACTGTACATTCATTTGTAAGTGAGAAACATTATATAATTATTATACTCTTTCATAATTTTCCCTTCAGTTTGGCAGGTGAGTGGAACGATAACCTCGCGTCTTGCAGATGCTGGGACCCATCGCCGATGGTGCAAGTGGCTGGCCTCTGTTCCTGCAGTCTGTCCTCATATACCACTTCCATATCCCTGTATCCCTTCTAAGTACTTTATAGTCATACTAGCTTAGTGTTTCCTTCTCATAATTGACTTAACTCTTATGATTTTCATTCTAGGTAAAACTGTTGAAGAGTACCGCAGACAGCTAGGTTCATTTGGTGTGAGTGGTGATCTGGCTCTTCAGCAAGTGGCTAGTCTGTCAGGAGGACAGAAATCTCGTGTGGCGTTTTCTCTCATGTGTATGGGTTCCCCGAACTTCTTCATCCTTGATGAGCCCACTAATCACTTGGACATAGAGACAATTGAAGCCTTAGGAGAAGCCATTCAGAAATTCAAGGTTAGTTTTCATTTGATTACTCTTACTCCTTGCGATGATTTCGGGTCTCAATGTCCCCGGGGCCCAGTCCCCGACCAGGCCTTCTGGTTGCTGGACCGATCAACCAAGAGATTTTTATGTAGTCACCTCCCCTGTACCCCTGAATTTTCCTTTAGCAAATTAATCATGCATTATCTACATTAGGAGTAGAGTAGATAATAATGAACATCACTGGTCTATCCTACTTTTTACATAAGTAGGATGGAGGGGGGACATGTTTATGTGATCATTACCCCTCACCTTCCTGTTTCTCATATAGGATGGGACACATGTGAGTGTAATGCTCACTCTCACTACCCTGTGTCATGAGAGACACAGTAGGACCTACAGTTAGTCCTCAAGAGAGGACTATCCTGTGTCATGAGAGACACAGTAGGACCTATGGTGAGTCTTCAAGAAAGGACCTACAGTAGATTAAGACCTTCTGTTTGATCAGTCTCCGAACTGGCGGTCTAGCGGTGGGGGAGTTGGCACGAATGAGCGGTGTGTCGGGTTGATGATGATTTCATTGTTACCTTGTAATTCTTGGGGTGTTCATGGGCTCTGTTCGGTCTTGGGTTGCAATTTTCTACCATTTGTGGTCTGTTTTGGGGCACCTACTTATCTGAGTGCCTAACCCCGGTCGATGGCAGACATGACTGTACAGTACTTTCGAAGGGTGGAGTTTTCATAGGCCATTTCTCCTCGTAACTCTTGTTTTTCAGTTCTGGAAGCATTTTGTCGCATGCTGTTGCACCTTTTCCAGTTTATTTATGTGCTTCTTGAGAATTGGGCACCATACATCTGCTGCATATTCCAATTTTGGTCTCACAAAAGTCATGAACAATTTCTTTAGTATTTCACCTTCCATATAATTAAAAGCAAGTCTGAAGTTGGAAAGCGTCGCACACGCTCCTCTCACAATATTCTTTGTGTGTTCCTCTGGCGACAGCTTACTATCCAAAACCACCCATAGATTTCGTTCTCTTTGAGAGTTCTGTAATTTCTTTCCACATAATTTGTGAGTTGTATGTGGTCTTTTCTCTCTGATTACACATTCCATAACACGGCATTTATTTACATTGAATTCTATTTGTCACTTGATACTCCAAGCACTTATTTTATCTAGATCAATTTGAAGGGCATTACAATCGTCTGGGTCTCCTGTCTTCCCCAGTGTCTTAGCATGATCTGTAAACATGTTCATATAATTCTGTTTTCCTTCTGGTAGACGGTTTATGTAGACGATGAACATTTCTGGGGCAAGAACTGAACCCTGTGATACTCCGCTAGTAACACTCCTCCAGTCAGATACATTCTCTCTGATTACTGCCCTCATCTCTCAGAAAAGTTTCATTCATGCAGCCCGTCCTCCAAAAATGGGGCGGTAAATGTAACAGCACAAATAAGTGCAATTATATACTATTCATAGCAGTCAGGAATTGTACTTATTTTCACTTAGTATTAATCGTACTATCAAATATATTGTAAATATTTGAGTTTACCTGAAAAGCTGAATAGAAAACCACGACCTCACCTAACCGTCTTAAGTGTTTGAAGATAAGCATTTTATTGCTTCTTAATTACAATTAGTACTTAACCTATATCTATATTGATATTACAGTTTTATAAAACTAATAAAACAAAACTAAAATACAGTATATCAATAAATTGTAAAGTAACTCGGGAAATGTTCAAATTTTGTATAAAATCTCTATTGTTTAATAGAGAAGAAAATTCTGATTCTGAAAATTCTGAAAAAGAAATTCCCGATATTTTTAACTTGTGTATAGCGAATTAAACTTGAAAACTTCATCCTAAAATTCTAAGTGTCTTAACAGAAAACGAGGAGAATAAATGGGGAGGTAAATGTAACAGTCCCATAAGTGCAATTATGTACTATGTATGACTGTAAGGAAATGTACTTATTACACTTAGTATTAAACCGTACTGTCAATTCGGAGGATGGGTTGATCCATGTCATAAGTCTCCTCGTCACTCCTCCAGCATGTTCCAGGGTGCACTGGGGTTCGTGTGCTTGAACCTACAGCATGCAGTGGCCATCTTTCACACCCGCATATTTTTACTGCATCCATTAACTGTCCTTTCAACAAGTGTTCCCAGTGCTTGGGTGTCCTGCTTGTTAATTTTATCCAGTGTTGGTCATTTTATCTGCCTGCCAAGTTTGTACTCGCTACGTGCAAATTTGTAAGGTGCTTGATAGACTTGCTACTGATGGCCAGTCATTCTCTGCCTCTGCATAGATGCCTGTTAGGTCTACGACACCTACAACCTGAAGTCCTGCATCCTGTGTGCGCTCTCGGTCTCTGTTCTTTCTCGGCCTCCCTCTTCTTGAGGCATTCCAGACAGCTGCTGCTTTATGGATATGGTTTTCCCATTTTCAAGGTAGCAGCTTGGTGGTCATTTGGATGCTACGGAGCTGGCCCCATTGTGTTTCAGGGATCAGAGTTGGGAGAGTTTGTTTATTCTACCTGGGCTCTGTCCACACCTCCTCTGCCTCCTGGGATGTGGTTTGTTTTGTGTCTGATCTTCTGCCTGGTCCTGGCTTTACTGTATCAGAAAGTTTCAGAGTTGGGGCAGGGTTTTGTCAGTAGGAGTGTACCTCAACCAGCTCATGATGGACCCATCCTGTTGGCAGCAAAGGCAGTCGGGCTGTCTCCTTCGCTGGGATTGTGAAGCTTTTGCCTTCAGAGCCCTATACTTCTTGAGCGCCTTCTAAATAGGACATCGTTTTCTGGCCTTGGTATTGTTTATGTCGATCAGATCTTCCATCGGGGCCATCATGGCTGGTTTCAATGAGGAATCCCTTTCTTTAGTGGCTCCCTGAAGCTTCTATACACTGAGATGGTACCGTCTACTAAGTTGCATCAGCTGTGGAATATATGGATATATTAGACTTTGGCATCAGCGTAGCTCCCTCTTCCTCAGGAGGGGGAAGGGAGAGCCCCAGACCCCTGTGCCAGCTATCCACACCTCTAGTTGTGTGGCTGATGTGAGACCTGGCAGTAATGCGACACAGGCTCCAGCTTTGTTTCAGTGCTGTGCCTTGTGGTGTAGTTCTGTCCTGGGTGGTGTGTGAGCCAGGAGTAATTTCACCAGTGCTCGGGCTGCATGTGCCTAAGGTTACCTTCCCTAGGTACCCTGTAAGTACTGCTCTTGTGGCTTTGGGCTCTCTTCTACAAGTTGATTGTGGACTACCACCGCTGATATCTTTTACTGCTCGGTAATTGCCCGCTCTTGGAGTCTGCTGGGGTATTTCATGTGCCTCTGTTTGCCTCTGGGTAGGAGGTTGTTTTGTCACTGGTAGGGGCTCAAGGTACTGTGCAGCTGTTCTTCACCTGATATAGCAGGTAACTCTGTTCCGCCTGGGTACGCTGTACTCGTACAGGACTCTTCTTTTGTTTTGTTTCCTGCCTGGTGGAGGGTCTATCCTTAGTGTTGTTGCTACTTATATATATTGTATTCTTGGTGGTCCTTCACTAGGTCCCCGTGTGTGTACACGTCTTAGGGGTTCAGCTTTTAGCAGATTGTTTGGTAGTTTGAGGCACGGGTTAGCAGTACCTTGCCTGGGCTTACCTTAGCAGAGCATCTAAGGGGCCCTGGAAAACACTGCTGGGGCTCAGTGGGGTTTGGAAGTGTCCCTAAAACCTCAATGGAAGCATCCCCTGGGTCTTGTCTCGCTTCGTGCAAGTTTTAAGGTTGCTCTTTCTCCTTGTCTGAGAGTGACAATCACCTGTTTTGCCTCCGTCATGCTGCCTGTTGGGTCTGTGACACCTTGACCCGGAGTCTGGCGAGTGGTGTTGCTGGTTCTCCAGATCACCCAGTCCACCGATATTGATCTTAGGGTGCAGGCAACTTCGGCGTTGCATGCACGTTATAGGTTGCTGTAGCGCGCTAGGTTGGTTGCTCACCTGGATACCCCGAGACTGCCCCATATTGGTTATAGGGTCGCGGACTTGGGGGGTGTCAGTTGCTTTGACTTTCGTTTCGTCCTCACCCCCGGGTCCTTTTCCCGGCTGTTGTTCATCTTGTTCCTCCCCTTTCCCCTGCTTCCGGCTCCGAAGCAGCTGAGGGTTTCGGAGTCGGCAGGGTTTAGTTGGTGGTGAGACTCGGGCAGTTTTGGGAGATGCCCCTTCCGTTGTGACGATAGAGGCATTCGAGCCCATTCCTCTAGCCAGTGCTTCTGGGTCTGACCAGTGGGCCCGACCAGCGGGCCCAACCAGTGGGCCCATCCAGTGGGCCCAACCAGTGGGCCCCCTTCAGTTCAGCTTTTCCGGCGGCTTCTGCCTTTTCTTTTGAAGCAGGGGGTTTGGAGGACGACTTGATGCCAGATTGTGATGTGAAGGTTCCCGGGGCAGGGGAGGGGTTAACTTGGGAGGCTTGGGCCCTGTTTGACCCCGCCTGGGTTTTGGTACCCTCCGAGCAGGGCTTGTTGTTGCAGGGGGTGAGGTTTTCTTATCCCTTCTCCTTGTACGAGTTTGATAAGGTGTCGACTCCTTCCCGTATTCAGTTCCGGGTACCCCTGGGTAATTCAATTTCTTCTTTCCAGAGGTTTTCGGTCTCACGCATGAGGTGTAGGAGGCAATTGCGGCTTACCTCCTGTGCAACCCAGATTATACCTCAATAATGGATCCTGCCACTTTTGAGTTCGGTTCTTCTTTTCCATACTGGGTTCGTTACGAGGTTCCAGAGTTGTCCTGGTTGGCAGACTGTTCTATCTTTTCATTTGGGGCGTCGCATTCATTCTGTTGGTCCCGCACCCTTGAGTGACGAGAGGCCCTTACGGTTGTACAGGTTTACCTGGGGGCGAGTTTGAGTACCTCAGTGCATGTTTGTCCACCCCTGCCCTTCCTCAGGATGTCGGCTTTATTCAGCTTCACGTGCAGGTTTACAGACCGATAGCACTAACATCGCACATCATAAAAAACTTTGATAGAGTGCTAAGAAATAAGATCACAAAATACATGGAACCACAGCATCTCCATAACCCTGGACAACATGGTTTCAGAACAGGGCACTCTTGCCTGTCACAGTTGCTGGACCACTATGACATGGCATCAGATGCTATGGAATACAAACAAAACGCTGATGTAATTTACACAGATTTCGCAAAAGCCTTTGACAAATGTGACCATGGTGTTATTGCACATAAAATGCGTTCAAAAGGAATTACCGGGAAAATAGGCAGATGTATCTACAATTTCCTGACTAACAGAACCCAATGTGTAATAGTCAACAAAATAAAATCCAGCCCATCAACCGTGAAGAGCTCAGTCCCACAGGGTACTGTGCTTGCTCCAGTACTTTTTCTCATTCTCATATCGGACATAGACATGGACACAATCTGTAGCACTGTATCATCCTTTGCAGATGACATTAGGATTTTCGTGAGAGTAGGCAACATAGAGGACACGGCGAACCTCCAATCAGATGTAGATCAGGTTTTTCTATGGGCTACAGAAAATAATATGGTGTTTAACAAAGATAAATTCGAGCTCATGCGCTACGGAAAAAATGAAAATATAAAAACGGAAACCACGTACAAAACTCAGGCAAATCATAACATAGAACAAAAAGGCACTGTAAAGGATCTGGGTGTACTCATGTCAGAAGACCTTATCTTTAAAGAACACACACAACTGCAATAAAATGACAGGTTGGATAACAAGAACTTTTCACACTAGAGATGCTGTACTGATGATGATACTTTTCAAAGCTGGAGAAATTGCTGACCTGGAGAGCGTGCAGAGATCCTTTACTGCTAGAATCCACTCAGTAAAACATCTAAACTATTGGGACTGACTAAAGAGCCTAAATCTGTATTCCCTTAAGCGCAGGCGGGAGAGATACATAATAATTTACACGTGGAAAATAATAGAGGAGCTGGTCCCAAACCTGCACACAGAAATAACATCACATGAGACCAGAAGGCATGGCAGGATGTGCAGAATACCCCCGGTGAAAAGCAGAGGTGCAACAGGTACTCTGAGAGAGAACTCTATCAACATCAGAGGCCCGAGACTGTTCAACACACTTCCACTACACATAAGGGGCATAACTGGCCGACCCCTCACAGTGTTCAAGAGAGAACTGGATAAGCACCTCCAAAGGATACCTGATCAACCAGGCTGTGACTCATATGTCAGGCTGCAAGCAGCCACATCCAACAGCCTGGTTGATCAGTCTAGCAACCAGGAGACCTGGTCGACGACCGGGCCGCGGGGACGCTAAGCCCCGGAAGCACCTCAAGGTAACCTCAAGGTAAGGTTGCCATGATGGTCTACCCGACAGGTCGGGTTTGGCTTTGACAGCTGTTCTTGTTCCTTCAGGGACATTGCTTCCGCTTGTCTCGCAATCGCTGGGTTTGGCCTCCAGGCGCTTTATGTCAGCTGCTGCATTACCGGCTTCCTCTATGGGTTTTCGGAGTTCAGTGCCTTGGCGCCTACCGGAGCCCTTGCTCGATGTGTTCACAGACATGTCATCTCTTGGCTGGGGCTTTGTGACCAGTGCTTCCCAGGCCAGCCAGGGACGGTGGGGTCCATCCTTCAGTTGGTCCCCAGCACAGTGTGGGAGTTTGCAGCGGTGTGGCGGGCACTTCGGATGGTTCGGGTCATTCGCGGATCAATGATCCTGCTCCATTCGGACTACTTCCCAGTGGTTCATTGTCTGAATCTTGGGGGGTTTGATGTGGGTCCTTGGCTCTTTGGGGCTCGTCGCTTCAGGTGACTCGCCTGCTGAGTTCTCGAGGTTTGACTCTCCTGGACGTTCATGTTCGGGGAGTGTCCAACGTCCTAGCGGAAGGCCTGTCTAGGTTCATTCCCCTGTCCACGGAATGGACAGGCGATATCAAATCGTTCAGTTGGCTCTGCCGGATGTACAGGCTCCTGGAGGTGCACCTCTTCGCGTCAGTGTGGTCTCGGTGTCTCCTGATATATATGGCGCTCTTCAGCTGGACTTGTCAAGGTGGGGTCACCTGTACCTCTTCCCCGTGGTTCTGCTGTTGCTCCAGGTCCTAGCTCACTTGGAGACTTACCATGGGAAATCAGTCCTCTTGGCCCCTTGGTGGCCAGCCCAGCCTTGGTTTCAGGCGCTGTTTGCTCAGTGTCCAAACCATAAGGGTCTTCCCACGGCTCCGCCTCTTTCAGCAGGTTGGACCAGTTCGTACGTAGCTGGTTCGATCTTCTCTTCAAGTCTTCGCATCTGGTCTTTCTGATGTTGGTCTATCACCAATTGTATGGTGAGCAGGTGGCTTCATTGATGGCGTCCCACCTGTGTGTCTCGTCTCTGCGGCAGTATGAAGTTTCATAAGAACATAAAAATGAAGGTAACTGAATTTAAATAGCAGCATTCACTGAGTAGAAGACCTGTTGGCTCATACGAGGCAGCTCCTATTTATATCCACCCAATCCCAAATCCCAAATTGAATAGCTTTAAAGAAATTAACATTGTGTAAATTTCATGTTATCTTTATGCATGTAATTAAAGAATTCACTGTATAGTACTTATATTATTGTTAATATAGTATGGGATTGGGGGCTATTAATTGGGATTTTGCAAAAAAAAAAAAAATGAAGAAGAATTGGGAGGTAATTATGTATTTGTTATATTACAGGGTGGCGTAGTGTTGGTGTCTCACGACGAGCGTCTCATCCGCATGGTGTGCACCGAACTCTGGGTTTGTGGAGACAAGAAGGTTGGCTGCATGGAAGGTGGCTTCGATGAATACCGAGCACTGGTGGAAAAGGAGATTCAGACGACCTTATAAAGGCCATTTTAGCTCTCAAGATTTGGAATTGAATATAATTTATGATAACAGGGGGTTAAGTCTTTTGTAAACAACTTTATGCTTGAGAAGTTGTTATGTTGGACATGCAAGTAGACTTGTTAGAGACTGTTAATCTCTTTATTTAAATGCTTTTATACTGGAGGAAAGTGTTTATATATATATAAATATAAATATATCTATATATATATTACATATACTGTATCTGTATTTAATTCATAAATTGCACTTCGTTAAAACAATATAAGCGATATTTATCTAATGTTTGCTTTTATTTACCAATCAGTAATGGCATTATTTGTGTTAAGTGTTGTAGCTTGGCCTTCAGTTGTGATACTTGTGGTCTTCAACACTGAAGGATTGGCCAACATTTCTGCACCATTCCACTTTCAGTTCTTTCTTAAGATCATATTTTTTATCTGTATTACATTGAACACAGTGTATTCTTGTTTTTATGAACCTTTCCTATCCTGTTATGAAGAAATATGAAATATTGAAAATGTTTGTTATATAATATTTCTGGTTTTAATTTATGTTAAGGATTTAAAAAGATCTACTGTATCTATTTTGATGTTTTCTGGCTGAACTAAGGCTGCCTTTAGCTTGCCACAGAAAAAAAGAAAAGAGGGGCCCACCAGGGTAGGAGGAGAGCACAGTTGTAGCACGTGAAGGAAGGGTAAACCCTACACAAGGATAAGAGGGGCCCACCAGGGTAGGAGGGGAGCACAGTTGTAGCACGTGAAGGGAGGGTAAACCCTACACAAGGCAAGAGAGGGGCCCACCAGGGTAGGAGGAGAGCACAGTTGTAGCATGTGAAGGGAGGGTAAATCCTACACAAGGCGACAGAGGGGCCCACCAGGGTAGGAGGACAGCACAGTTGTAGCACGGGAAGGGAGGGTAAACCCTACACAAGGCAACAGAGGGGCCCACCAGGGTAGGAGGAGAGCACAGTTGTAGCATGTGAAGGGAGGGTAAACTCTACACAAGGCAACAGAGGGGCCCACCAGGGTAGGAGGAGAGCACAGTTGTAGCACGTGAAGGGAGGGTAAACCCTACACAAGGCAACAGAGGGGCCCACCAGGGTAGGAGGAGAGCACAGTTTAGCACGTGAAGGAAGGGTAAACCCTACACAAGGCAACAGAGGGGCCACCAGGGTAGGAGGAGAGCACAGTTGTAGCACGGGAAGGGAGGGTAAACCCTACACAAGGCAACAGAGGGGCCCACCAGGGTAGGAGGAGAGCACAGTTGTAGCATGTGAAGGGAGGTAAACTCTACACAAGGCAACAGAGGGGCCCACCAGGGTAGGAGGAGAGCACAGTTGTAGCACGTGAAGGGAGGGTAAACCCTACACAAGGCAACAGAGGGGCCCACCAGGGTAGGAGGAGAGCACAGTTGTAGCACGTGAAGGAAGGGTAAACCCTACACAAGGCAACAGAGGGGCCCACCAGGGTAGGAGGAGAGCACAGTTCTAGCACGTGAAGGGAGGGTAAACCCTACACAAGGCAACAGAGGGGCCCACCAGGGTAGGAGGAGAGCACAGTTCTAGCATGTGAAGGGAGGGTAAACCCTACACAAGGCAACATAAGGTACTCACCTAGTTGTGCTTGAGGGGTTGAGTTCTGGCTCTATGGTCCTGCCTCTCAACTGTCAATCAACTGGTGTACAGGTTCTCTAGCCTATTGGGCTCTATCATATATACATTATAAATTGTGTATGGAGTCAGTCTCCACCACATCACTGCCTAATGCATTCCATCTGTTAACTACTCTGACACTGAAAAAGTTCTTTCTAATGTCCCTGTGGCTCGTTTGGGTACTCGGTTTCCACCTGTTTCCCCTTGTTTACGTACCATTCATGCTAAATAGTTTGTCTTTGTCCAAACTACCCTGAGAATTTTATGTGTGGTTATGTCTCTCCTTACTCCTGTCTTCCAGGGACATGAGGGTTGGCTTCCGTAGCCTTTCCTCTTAGCTCATACATCTTGGTTCTGGGATTAATCTGGTGGAGAACTTTCAAATCCAGGGATCCCATCACAATGGTTGTACTCTTCAAGCCACTTGTGTTGTCCCGTCTCGAGTACTGCTCAGTACTCACTTCCCCCTTCAGAGCAGGAGAGATTGCTGAAATAGAGGGAATACAGAGAACATATACGGCACGCATAAACGAGATAAAACACCTAAATTATTGGGATCGTCTCAAAGCTCTCCAAATGTACTCTCTAGAAAGGAGACGAGAGAGATACCAAATAATATACACATGGAAAATACTGGAGGGTCAGGTCCCAAATCTACACAGTAAAATAACAACGTACTGGAGTGAACGATATGGAAGAAAATGCAAGATTGAACCAGTGAAGAGCAGAGGTGCCATAGGCACAATCAGAGAGCACTGTATAAACATCAGGGGTCCGCGGTTGTTCAACGTCCTCCCAGCGAGCATAAGAAATATTGCCGGAACAACCGTGGACATCTTCAAGAGAAAACTGGACGGTTTTCTAAGAGAAGTTCCGGATCAGCCGGGCTGTGGTGGGTACGTGGCCCTGCGGGCCGCTCCAAGCAACAGCCTGGTGGACCAAACTCTCACAAGTCGAGCCTGGCCTCGGGCCGGGCTTGGGGAGTAGAAGAACTCCCAGAACCCCATCAACCAGGTATCAACCAGGTTGTCCAGGTTGTCCTGTAGTCTCTGTCTATCTTCATCTGTCTTGATTCTTCTCAGAATTTTTGCATCATCAGCAAACATTGAGAGGAATGATTCTATACCCTCTGAAAGATCATTTACATATATCAGAAACAGAATGGATCCAAGTACAGAGCTCTGTGAAAAACACACAGTCCTGTGGCAACATCTCGCCACTCTGATGTCTCCTCCCTCACAGTTACTCGCTGTTTTCTGTTGCTTAGATACTCTCTTGTCCACTGGAGCACCTTACCTTTTCCATTCATGTGGGCTATATGGGTCTCAAACCGTGGATGTAGTTAAAAATGGCGCAGAATTATTTGTGGAAGGTTCCTGTCTGTCGTTTTAGGACCAGCATCTGGTTCACTGAGGCAAGGGGGAACTGGGGAATCAATAATCAACCCAAATTAAGGAAAAACCCACCAGAAAGCTTAACAATAAAATATGTAATTGCTTGAAAAAAGAAGAGCCCAGAAATAACAAGGCAAATGATCATTATCGCAAGGAAAACGCCTTGATTGAGGTGTGCCTGACTGCCACCAGGTGGCACCTCAGCGAGCCAGCTCTCTCACTCCTGGTTGTAACATAGAGGCACGTAACCTCTGACCTATCTTCTTGTTCATGCTTAAGCTAAGTGGTGTTGTCTATCCTTGGAACTTTGTTGCTTCCTTTCTCTCTCATGATATGTATGCAATTATCAAAAGAAGGTGCCAATCCAGGAAATCCTTCATGATTGCAGTTTACATCATCCATGTCGCTTATATCCTAGCTTTGTATTTGACTTGGAGTGTGGCCCGCCCAGGGTATTTTCTTTCTTGGTAGTCAGTTAGCATTGTATCATGCCCCATCAGAGATACCTGCTTAGAGGGGTTTGAGCTTTCTCCCTTATGAGTCAACTCATCTTGGATCACCTGGCTTACAGGTAGTGAGACCTGTCAAGAGGAGTGCTTACTGTCACTGACTGTATAGAGACAGTGAAATCCTGCTCATTATGCCCGACCTCCTAACTGTTTATACCTGACATGCTAATTACCTCTCTCAATGTTAACAGTTTCATCATATTTTATCTTAAAGATGTGGATGGAATTGGCTTCAAGAACCTCATTCTTCAATACATTCTACTTGCTAACTACCTGTATAGGAAATATGAATTTCCTTACATCTCTTAGACTCTGTTGCATGTCCAACTTCCACTGATGTTCCTCTTCTTCTATCTCTCTTTTTTTTTTAATTTAAATAGGCTTGCTTTGTCCACTTCATCTATTTCCTCAGGATCTTGTATGTAGTGAGCATATCCCCTCTGTTTCTTCTCTCTAAGGTTATGAGGGTACGTTCTCTCAACCTGTCCTCATAACTCGAGCTTTTTTTCTCAATTCTGGTTTTAATCTTGTAAACCTCTGAACGTTCTTAAGTTTCTGTTTATGCATCACAAGGCATGGGGGGGTTCAATGGTGGTGTTGCAGACTCAAGTAATGGTCTCATATAGACTGTGTATGGACTTAAGAGCTTCCTTGTTTAGATTCTTAAATGACATTCTTATTTTTTTTTTTTTTTTTTTTTTTTTTTTTTTTTTTTTTTGTTTTTTTTTTTTTTTTTTTTTTGAGATATATACGAGTTGTTACATTCTTGTACAGCCACTAGTACGCGTAGCGTTTCGGGCAAGTCCTTAATCCTATGGTCCCTGGAATATGATCCCCGCCGCGAAGAATCGTTGTTACAACCAAGTACACATTTTACTGTTGAGTTAAACAGAGGCTACAGTTAAGGATTTGCGCCCAGTAAATCCTCCCCGGCCAGGATACGAACCCATGACATAGCGCTCGCGGAACGCCAGGCGAGTGTCTTACCACTACACCACGGAGACTGCTTTATTATGTTTGCTTACTTTCCATAATGCTGCTTGTATTATCTTGTTCACATAAGCTTCTGGTGTTAGTGTTGGGATCATGTCTGTTACAAAGTCTTTTTCTAATATTGTTCTTTATAATTGCCTTTCCCTTATGGTGTAGTTAAATATAGGTCTCCTATCTCCCTTATCAAATTTTATTACACTTATTTGGATTGGATTCCAGCAGCCATTTATCTAACCACTCCTAAAGTTTGGCAAGATCTTCTTGCAGCAGGATAGCACCCTATAGTTCGTACTCATTAACTTTGCATCATTTGCAGACATGGACATGTACGAGCTCACTTCCTCTGTGAGGCCATTTACATAAATTAAAAACAAACAGCAATGATCCTAGGACAGGGCTCTGTAAAACACCAGTTTCCACTTCACTCCAGCCTGACATATCCTCTCTGTCTATGACATTTTTCTTCCTGTCTGTCAATTTATCAAGTACAGTGGTGCCTCAGTTAATGAATTTAATCTGTTCCGGCACCGAGCTCATCATGTGAAACGCTCGTCTTGTGAAACAAATTTCCCCATTTAGAATAAAGGAATTACAATTAATCTCTTTCACCACCGAAAAACATCAATATGATATTCGATTTGTTTTATTTTCATGGAAAATGGAGCAGCCTACCTGACATACACTGAACAAACCTTTGTGACTTTTTTTTCAAATTTTTTCAACTTTCATTATTTGTAAAAATTTTATAGAAAATGGAGCAGCCTACCTGACATGCATTGAATGAACCTTTGTGAATTTTTTTTCTTTCAAATTTTTTCACTTTTTTTATTTTTTCATTTTTTTACTATTTTTTAGAAAATTTAGAAGCCTACCTGACATTAACTGAACAAACCTTTTGACATTTCTTCTTTT